GGAGGGGTCGGGCGCCGGCCCCAGGAGTCCGTGCGGATCCTCGGAAGCTCAAGGGGGTCCTCCGGGAGAGGGCCACCGAGGTTTTCTCTGATGGGCCTGTTTTCCAACACCACCTTGAGATGGAGGCGGAGAGGGAGGAGGGGGAGGAGGAGGAGGAGGAGGAGGAGGAGGAGGAGGAGGAGGAGGAGGCGGAGAGGGAGGGGGAGGAGGAGGAGGAGGAGGAGGAGGAGGAGGAGGAGGAGGAGGAGGAGGAGGACCCCCTCCCCCTCCAACTTATGGCGGTGGTGGTGGATAACAGGCCCATCATTCTCTCTCTCTCTCTCTCTCTCGCTCTCTCGAAAAGAAGAATAATCACGCCATAAACATAAACTTTCGGCGCTCCGAAAGTTTATGTTCATGGCGTTGTTTCTGCTCCTGTGCTCGCAGTTTTGCAACTCCCAGGGTCTCACCAGGGCCACGGCAGCGTCGAGGGGAATGCCGGGTGCGGACCAGGAGGGGGGTGATGGCTACGAGAAGGGGGTGGACATCACGGCTGGGGCCATGGCACCTCCCCCGGCTCCGGTGGCCCCCTCTTCTCGTCTCAATGCGTCCCTCTCCCCCCTTCCGTCCGCGCACGAGCGGCCGGCCATGATCTTCACCGCCCACCGAACCACCCCAGCCAGACCCGAAGGCCCCGACTTGCCCTCTATTCCCGTTGGGGGGGGGACGTCGGGGAACATGGAGAACAAAAACACATCTGCAGCCCGCTGCCCCCCAGCCCGAACTTCGCGTCTTCGGGTTGGGCTGGGGGTCTGGTAGGCCGTCAAGCTGGGAGCCCCTCTCTCGGGTGCCCCTCTCTCGGACGCATCCCGAGAAAAGGCCCCCCGGGGGGACACCGGCACCGGGAGGAGCCGCGGGCCCCGGGCTGGAGAGAACCACTGGGGGCGCGTGTCTCTCAGGGCCCGCCTCCCTCCTTCGAGGAGGATCGACTGCATCATCGATCGGGGCGATCGAAGCGGGCATCCTAGGTTTAAGTCGGGCACGTCCCTCTACAGGGGTAATGTTCAAAAACAAGCAACAAAATCCTACGGGGACGATTTTTCTAATCTTCTTCTCTCTACATATGTTTTTGTGGGGGGATTTCGCCCAAAATCCGCCTGTAGGGGCACATGCCCGACCTAATCCTAGGTTTTTTAATAAGCGTGGGGGGGTACCCCCCCGACGGGGGTCAACCTCGCCTCGCTGTCGCGCCGCGACGGGTGTCGGAGCGCCTTTGGCGCGCGGTGGCTGCCCGCGACGGGGGTCGATGTGGGGCTGTCGGCGGGGGTGACGAAACTCGGAGTATGTAAAGCACGGGTACAAAGACCAACCGCAGTTGTTGATCATTTTGAATAGGACTCGCTGTCGGCGTCGCCGCGGACGTTGTCCATTTCAGACAGACGGCCGCCTGCCCAACAGCGGCCGCTGTCGGTTTTTGGACAACGTTTGCAGTTGGGCATCGTACCATTTTTTCCCGTACCCATTTCGGGCGTCCAAAATTGATTTGCCTCAGACTTGCTCTTGGTCGAACCAATTGACAACATGCGCATCATGTTTGTGTAGATTCGAGGAACTAGCAAGTCTGGGGTGAATCAATTTTGTCGTCGACTCGAGCCCTGCCAGAGGTGGCCGCTGGAGGACGGCACACGGTTCTGCTCCGGAGCGACGGCACGGTCGTGGTCTGCGGCAACAACGATGACAACCAGGGCGACGTCCCTGTGGTGGCTGCAGGCCCCGAAGACAAGACTGCTACCCCAGCGAAGCACCCTGATAGCAGCAAAGGTGAATCGGCGTCACCCCAACATACTAAGATTGTGCGTGCGTGCTCCAAATCTCTTGTTAATCGTCCCCCGGGTCTGGTTTTTGAAGGCGCCTTTTTCGTAACTGGGGGGGTACGGTTTATTAGGGCGCTTTCTTTGGATTGGAGCTTAGGGGGTCCAGTTTCTCAAGGCGCCTTGTCGAAGAGGGGGGTCCGGAATATTAGGTCGCATTTGGAGGGGGGACCGGTTGTTTAGGGGGGGTCGATTAATAAGGGGCTTGGAATAGCCCCCCCAGGGGCGACGCGCGCGCCGAGGATGTTTGTAGCATAAGCTCAGTGGCGGGCGCTGTCTGGCCATGCCGCTCGGGCAACGCTCTGCGGCAAGACGTTTGTACTGCATGTTCGGTTCGGACGGGCGCGCCTCCGAGGCTGGACGTATAGCACCAGTACTACGTCGGGCACGTCCCTCTACAGGAGGAGTTTTCAAAATAGTAAAAAATAGCGTGGGGACGATTTTTCTGTCATTTTTGATCGGTTTCGAACATTCTTTGATTTCTTTCGCTGTTCTTCCAAAATTCGCCTGTAGTTGGGCATGCCCGACCTAACACCGTCTGCGTCCCAGTGAGGAAGCGGGTTGAGGACGAGGAGTAGAAGCACGACCAGGCAGGGGTGAGGGCACGTCCGTGTGCACCTCAGTGGATGGTGGCCGCCCAGGCAACAGAAGTGCAGCTGGCAATCGGGGCGAGAGAGCGGCTCCTCTAAGAAGTCGTGGGGAAGTCTCAGGCGGAGCGCCGCTGGACCGCCTCCAGCCGGTCGCGGGCTCCCGGTCCCCTCTTCGTTTTCTGACCATCCTTCCCCGAGCAGGGCTTGCACTCCGAGGGTCTTGCTTCTCCTCTGAGAAGCTGGGCCTGTCTGCCAGTCTGGCGGCTGCGTCGCCGCCGTCGCCGCCCCGTCGCCGCCTCGTCGCCGCCCGCCGCCTGGAAGTGTTTGCCAGTCGTCGTCTGGGACTGACCGCGGGTCTGGCGGCTATGTTGCCGCCGTCGCCGCCCCGTGGCCGCCTCGTGCCGCCACATAGAACGCGCACCTCATGGACTGCACCACGTAGACTGCAACACATTGCTTGCGCCACGTAGATTGCCCAACATATATTGCACAACGTAGATTGCACAGCACGTATTGCACTACGTAGTTTGCACCAACATATGGTATCTAGATATAAATTCCCCTTTCTAGAAAGAGAGTAGGGTCTACCCCTCCCGGGGTTAACGATTCCCCGGGAACCGATGCAAAACAAATGGGATTCTGACGAGAAAGCGCGTTTCACGTCCGCTCGCCTTGGGAACATTCGGCGGCGCGTTTCGAACCGGGGTATGGGCCCACCCCCCAACACTCGGCGCCGTCGATCAGAACCAGGGGGACTCCCTTCCCTCCCAACCCCCCCCCCCCTCCCGACCCCCCCCCCTCCCCCCCCTTGGCGCTGGCGCCGGCGCTGGCGGTCGCCGTAGCGCCAACGCAGCGACGATGACCAGAGAGAGCCCACAAGGGGTGGGGAGGGGGGAGGGGTTCAAACCCCCCCCTCCCCGCGCCGGCGCCAGCGCCGGCGGTCGTCGTCGTCGGCGTCGTCGTCTTCGTCGGTGTCGCCGTCGTCGTCGTCGTCGTTGTCGTTCTCGTCGTTGTCGAAGTCGTCGGAGACGTCGTCGGTGTCGTTGTAGTCGTCGTCGGCGTCGTCGTCTTCGTTGTCGCTGTCGTCGTCGGCGTCGCTGTCGCTGCCAAGTGCAATTTGGTACCCACCGTCACGGTCTGAAGAAGTCTTGCGACCAAGATGCGGGTCAATTGCACAACATATATTGCATCACCTAGATTGCACGGTAGAGAAGGCAGAACACATCTTGCACCACATAGATTGCACAGCATACATCAACATACATTCCACAATGTTGATAGCATCGCAATGATTGCCCTGATTGCCCAGAACAGAATGCACAACACATATTGCACAACACACGTTTCACCACACATGCTGCACAACATATATGGCACCACATAGATGGCTCAACATTGGATGCACCACATATGTTGCACCATTGCGATCGCATCGCATGTCTTGAACACCACATCGATCGCACAACATAGATTGTACAACATCGTTGGACCACAGAGATAGCGCAACGTCATACTGCCCCGCATGGATTGCGCAACACGTGTTGCAAACCATCGACTGCTGGAAATACTGTTTCGGGCCCACGCTGGCTCACTTTAGAATCTCCGAGCGAGACGCTGTGATGGAGTCGAACTGAAATCTTTTGGAGTTCCGCGCGATTCTCTTGGAATTGCATTCGGACCCCCGTCGGCGCCTCCAGCGCCGCCCGGGCGCTCTCCGCGCGCCTAGAAGGTGCAGATCCAAGAAACCCGCGCGCAGCTCCGAAAGAAGATGCTGATGCAGTTGCTTCTTCCTCTCAGGCCTCCGTTACACGCAAGTTGCCGCTGGGGCCGAGCACACGGTTCTGCTCAGGAGCGACGGCACGGCCGTGTCGTGCGGCTGGAACGGCCACGGCCAGTGCGACCTCCCGGCGCTGCCCGCAGGCCAGACTTGCACACAGGTCGCCGCCGGAGTGGCCCACACGGTCCTGCTCCGGAGCGACGGCACTGCTGGGCTTCCACCACCACCACCACAAGTTGGAGGGGGAAGAGGATGGAGGATGAGGAGAAGGAAGAAGGGGAGGAGGAGGAAGACCCCCTCCCCCAGCTGCTTATGGCGGTGGTGGTGGTGGAAGACACGCCCACCAGGCACGGCCGCAGCCTGTGGCGAGAACAGGGACGGGCAGTGCGACATACCGGCGCTGGTCGGAGGCCTGACCTACACGCAGGCTCGGGCGCTGCATGACGGGGGGGGGCTCCGCGTGCGGGGCGCAGAGCAAGGTGCACCTCCTGTGCCCTGAAGGAGGCCCCCCTCGGGGCCCGAGAGGGTCACGAACGGTGCACGCGCCCCCCCCCACACACACACACACATTCATGTCGCCGCACAATTCAGCCACGCCCGACAGGTTTCCGCTGGAGAGAGCCACTCGGTTCTGCTCAGGAGCGACGGGGTGGCCGTGACGTGCGGCGGGAACAGCCACGGCCAGTGCGACCTCCCGGCGCTGCCCGCGGGCCAGAGCTACACGCACGTCTCGGCCGGCGTGGCCCACACGGTGCTGCTCCGGAGCGATGGCACGGCCGTGGCATGTGGCGAGATGGTAAGGCTTCCGGCTGCGCGCAGACCTCCCGTAGCTTTGCCTGGGCTCAACAAGCTTTCCCCCCCGAGCAGCCCAGTGCCCCAGGCAGCACGGGCTGGCCGCGCAACACCCGGGCGCCGCTTCCGGCGGCGCCCCCGGGGGCGCTCTGCGCCCCAGGGCTGAGGTGTTGAGACCGCCCCGCGCTGCTCGGGGGGCCGGTCGATCAGAGGAGCAGAGGTTGTGATAGCGATACGCATCAGAAGTGTACGCATCATGATCCTTCTCGCCCCAGCTGCATGTCGGGCGTGTCCCTCTGCAGGAAAGATATTTGAGAACAGTCAGAAAACAGTCTGGGGACGGTTTTTGGATTACGTATTGACTATGTTGGAACATGTCTTTACCACTTCTCATTTTTTTCAAAATCCGCTCGTAGGAGGACATGCCCGACCTCACCCTAGCTGAGGCCAGCTTGGACCACGGGGAGGTGGGGGGGCTGTCTGCGCGCAGCCCGAAGTCTTGCCATGGCGAGAACGACCAGGGCGAGTGCGACCTGCCCGTGCCCGCTGCGGGCGTGGGCTACGCCGCCCACCTGCAGCCGACGCTGCTCCTGCAGGCGCTGCTCGAGGGCGACACGGTGCGGTTCCTCTCGGCAGCGAGCGAGGAGGGAAGTGAGCAGGAGAAGGCTTTCTCACAATCGAAGAAGACACAATGCCATACAGTGGAGGCCCATGCCAAGAAACACCCTGCTTGCCTCCAAGGTGCCCTGGGTTTCTTGGGTTCCCACTGGTTTGCTGTAGAGAGCGTGTGACGCTCCCACGCCAAGAATCCATGGACGTCGTGGGGTCTCACGGTTGGGTTTCTTGTGGAAGTTTTTTGTGGTCAGGCCTCCTTTGCAACCGAAGAAGAAGAAGAATAATCAACGCCATAGACATAATTTTTCGGCGGTCCGCGCAGATTTCTGGGATCCGCGCTGGGCCCCCCCTGCGGCGCCTCCGGCGCCGCCCCTGGCGCAGCCCGCGCGCCAGGAAGGGGCGTCCAACGCGGATCCATACAATCCGCGCGGGGCGCCAACACTTTGTGTTTATGGCGTTTTCTTCTTCTTCCTCTTCTTCTTCCTCTTCTTCTTCTTCTTCTTTCTCTTCTTCTTCTTCCTCTTCTTCTACAGACGACTCAGGAGTGGCCCAGCCCTCCGAGAAGTTTTATAAGCCTTTCCCGAAGACAAGACAGCACTTCGCAGAGGGCGCGAGGGCCTCGGAGAGGGTCCGCCGCCCTCTGAGAAGGCCTCCTCCTCCTCGTTTCCCCCCCCATCGCTCGCCGCCGATCCTCACCCTCAGCGGCGTGGACCGCTGTCGAGCCCAGGCGGGCCCCACGGCGCGCGCGGCAGATATCCTGCTGCGCTGCCGCGCCCAACGCCGCTGCCGTGCTTCGCCTCGGCGGCGCACGCGACGGGATGACGGGGCGACCGCCGCGAAGGGAGCGGGCCCGGAGGGAACTGGGTCAAGAGTGAAGTCGGGCCTGTCTCTCTGCAGGAGGAGGAGTGCTCAAAAATGATCAAAGCATAGAAGGGGGACAATGTTTTTTTTTTGTGAAAGCATTTTTCAGATGTGTGTTGATTCTTTTTTATCCGTAAGGGCTTCGCCCCCTGCCGCCGGCCCCCTCTCTCGGAGAATGGGCCATGGAAGAGCGAAGTCATAAGGCTTTGGCTTCACCGTGAAGCAGCGTCGGCCCTTCATGCGAAGACGATGGGTAATTGGCAAGACGAATGGAGATTGCGAGTCTATTGTTGTACGCGCTGTTGTATGAATTTCAGAACTGTGGCAAATCCCATTTGTTTTTGGACCCTGACCCTACAGATCTGCAAGGGGGGTGCCGCCGGATTTCAGAAATGTGGCAAATCCCATGTGTTTTTGGACCCTGACCCTGCCGATCTGCGTGAGGGGTGCCACCGGATTTCAGAAATGTGGCAAATCCCTTGTGTTTTTGGACCCTGACCCCGCCTATCTGCGTGAGGGGTGCCACCGGATTTCAGACATGTGGCAAATCCCTTGTGTTTTTGGACCCTGACCCTGCCTATCTGCATGAGGGGTGCCACAGAATGTCCGACATGTAGCAAATCCCATGTGTTTTTGGACCGCCGAAGCGCCCCGCGCGGTAATCTGAGCGCCAAAGCGGGCGAGCCGGCAATCCGAGCGCCAAGGCGCCCGAAACGGCAATCTGAGCACCGAAGTGGCCGAATCGGCGCCCTGGGCACTGGAGCGCTCGAATCAGCAATCTGAGCGCCGATGCGCCCGCGCGGGCAATTTGAGCGCCGAAACGGCCGAGTCGGCAATCCGGGCACCGATGCGCCCAAATCGGCAATCCGGGCGCCGAAGCGCCCGAATTGCCAGACTGAGCACCGCAACCACCTAAGCGCCCGAATCTGCAATCCGAGCACTAGAAGTGGGCAGAATCGGCAAACCAGGCACCGAAGCCATTCTGAGCACCGACGCGCCCGAATCGGCAAGGACGCGCGCGCGCGGCTGGCCTGAAGCAGACCGCGGCCCGCAGACGCAGACGATGGGACGATGGAGCATTGAAAGCTGCGGGGCATCTGGCGGCGAGCACCGCGGCACACGGTCGAACCCCGCGGTCTGCAACGCCCCCAGCGCCGCGGATTTCTTCGGGACCGCGTCGGCGCGCCCGCCAAATTCAAGCGGCTCGGCGCGTGGCGGCTGTAAAACAACATGCCGGCGCGGGCGACTCGCAGCCGGAGGTCTCCGACGAGATCGCTCCAATCAAATCGCCTGGGAGATTCGCGGAGTAGGGTTCCAGCTCACCCGAATCCTGCTCAAGCAGCCAATGCAGGGCGCATATGGCTGCCAGTGACTCCCGGGTGGCAACTTCCATTCTTGCGGAACCGCGCCCGCCGCCAAGATTGCGCCGGGACTGCAGGACTCGAACAGCAGCGCCGACCGGGAAGGCAAATGGCCCGCGCCGCATTGCCACTGCCTGGCGCGTCGGAAGAAGCGTCGCACCGAGGCCGCGCGACCGGCCTCGCGGCGCGCACCGCGCGCTGAGGAGCGGCGTCAAAAGACGAAACCGACACGGCGCGACCTGCGCGCTCGACCAGACAGCCGCGCTGACTTGCCAGATGCGCGCTTAAACAGTGGAGCTAAGTGCACGCGCGCAGCTTTGCCGACAGTTGCGCTGGGGCCCCAACTGGGCCGCCCGGCCAAGTGCTTGGCGCTGGCGGGCTGCAGCGCGCCGCGCGAAAGAACATGGCGAATCTCCGTTTCTCCAGCGCTCCAGGTGTGTTGCGCCGATCTCAAGCCGCGCAGCGCCATTCTCTGGGTCGATCGCCACTCCGGCCCCAAGCGCTTGTGCAGACGGAGAATCCGTCGCACATTTGGCATCGTCAAGCTCCCAGCCAAGTACCTCGGTCACGACTTTTCGTGCCACCTCCGTGGCACCAGCAGAGGTTGCGAAGAAAGGCGCCCCCGGCCGAAGGGGATCTGCCCTGAGCAGATCGTCTACGCAGCGCACAAAATGACGAGAAAGAATACTGCAAGGCTTTCCCGAATCGTCTGACGCGCCCGACCCACCGAATGGTAGATCGTTTGCATAGCTGGTTCGCCCCAGATTTCACGTGTTCCGTCGAATGTACAACAACTTTGTGGATTGTCCCGTAACATTGCATAGCATTCCGCGTTCTGTGAAGCGAGATTGGACGAGAAGCAACTTCAGTGCAACCCAATTATGTAGTCGATCCTTTATAGTCAACGCGCATGGTAAGGATGCGCGCATGTTTTAGGGTACCCTCGTGTCCTTGCCTCTGCGGCCCGTTGTTTGCAGTTTAGACGCAGAATTTTTGTCCGAAGGCGCGAGGGTTTTGACAAGTTCCGCTGCCTTCTGTGAAGGCCTTTTCCTTCTCGTTGCCCCCCGTTCGCCGCCGATCCAACTGTCCTGCGTCCTTGCCACCCGTCCTCGCTATACGTCTTCACTATGCTCGAGCCCCTGCCGCCGCGGCGACGCGGCACTGTCGGGTCTGCGCGAGCCTCGTGGCCCCAGCGGCTGTGCTCACATGCTTCCCTGCCACCCATTCCCCATCGAGAGCAAAACAGCCCCTAACCTTACTAGCGCGATGAAAGCGTGTTTTTTTCTCAGGTCCCCATCTTCGCATAAGGGATCATAGTGATTATGGGCTGTTTGGCCTGATGCATGTGCAGGAATTCCCCTTGTCCCTAATGTTCCTCCTAAGTTAGGTCCCCCCCCAAAGGTAAGAGGTACTTCCGTTGCCTATCAATTCCGGCGCACCCCTCACACGCTGCGGGCCCCATGGGGGGCCCCACCGAAAACCCGCATGGCTGTGATCCTCTACGGTCAGCCCGCACAGTAGGGATGGGCAACCTTCCCAAGGGTACCCTTGCACCCCTCCCCGTCGACCCATCCCTGACCGCTTCCGCTGGCCGCGCCCCGCGCGCACAGGGTCGACACATGGGTTTCCGAGGCCCTCGCGTCCCTCTCGTGCGTGCTGATCATACGAGCAGGCTGTACACGCTCAGAAGAAACAGAAACACACAGACACAATTGATCGTCGATTCCCCAGAAGAGATGGGAAACTATGGGAAGTGGGGGGGAAGACACAAACCCAGAAAATATGGGAAAACATGGGGGATCTTTTGATTTGTGTGTATTTATCTGTGTGTCCCAGGGCCCCTTCATACGCCTCCGCCGTGCTCGAGCCCCGGCCGCGACAGCGGCGCGGCCCGGCGGGTCTACGCGAGCCTCGTGGCCGACCACCGCGCGGGCCTGCTCGGCGACGGGGCTGCGCGCGTCGACGCCGTGCTGCCCGGCGGCCTGCTGCTGAGCCGCGCCGCCGCGGCCGGGCAGACGGTCACGGGCGCCTGCGCGCCCGGCCCGCCGAGCCGAGCTGAGCCGAGCTGATGGGCTTGGGGGGATCGAGGAGGAGGAGGAGCAGTGGCCAGCGCGCCGGAAGCCCTTAGGTGACCAAAGAAAGTTCGTCTAGAGGGCACGCCGGCTGACTGTGGGAAGTTGGCAAGTACTATTCATGGAGTCTCCAATTCGCCCCGCCATCGGTGTCAAACACCCATTATCGTTCCTGGTCGCATGCGCCCTGGGAGGCCCCAGTATTTTTCCCGTGCCAAAGTTGGCGCGGCCTTGTCCATTTGATACGGGACCCTGTCCGCAGCAAAGATTATGTGTTTCTTCGCCTGTTCGCTTGGTGGGGGGAAAATGAAACATCATATATATATATATGTATATATCGTCGTCGTGCAGGAGCAAGCGTTCGCCATAGAAAACAGGATCCACTGGCGTGGGCTACACGTAAGAGTGACCCTTGGCCAGAGTGACCTTTAGTGTTTGCCCTAATGGGGTCGGACAGATTTTCTTGAGGAGTGCGCTCGGCCTCGTGTCGGCGCACGTTGCACCAGTCTGCGATCGCATCAGAGCGCGCTTGATTCAGGGTGCGCCCCTCGCAATCGATCGCAACGCATGCACGGCGTGTTCTGCCGCATGCTTCGTTTGGCGAGGGGGGGCCCAGTCGAGCGGGCGACGTGCTCTCCGCTTTGGGACTGGCCCCAAATCGTCCTGGAATAACTTTAACTACTTTTGACTACTTTTGAATAACTTTGAATAACTTTTCGCATTCCGCGCTTTACAACTCATTCTTTACGATTGAAAGTTATATGCGGCCGCGGGGGGGGGCCAAGTTTCGGCCCGGTTTCGGCCTTGACGCCGGGCCCGGTCAGACGTCATCGCGATGCGGCCCGGCAGTGCCAGAACATTCCGCGGTGGCGCCCGATTACGTCTGGCTTCGCAGAGCACTCGGGCGGGCGTTCTGGGGCGCCCGGAACGAGTTGGCGGAAGTCCGCGATTGCCTGCTGGCGCTAGGGGTCTATCGAAGCGCGCCCCACCGATCGTTGATGCAATCCGACGGCCTAGGCTTGCGCGGTTGCTCCAGGCCCCCACGGGCCCCCTTATGGCCGCGCACCAAAGGGCACTCTTGCCTAGGGTCACTCTTACGCGTCGCCGAACTGGAACGTCATCGCGCAGGGCAAATGGTCGTTCATGGGAACATGTTTGTGGCAATAGGCATATCACATATACATATACGGACATACATATAGATATACATTTATATACACCCGATTCGAATTACAATTTGATCCCCCGCGGTTTATAATTCTTTACGCTTCGCGTATCCCCACCAGCCCATCTCAAACCAGCAACTCTTGCGAAGCATCCCGACAGTCGTGTTTTTCAGGCGTGTTTCCGCCTGCCCCAGCATATCTCCCCTGTTCCTCCTTCCTCCCGCCTCCTTGTACATCCTCCTTGTGGTGGGAGCGGGAGAAGGACGAGGTGGAGGAGGAGGGAGAGAAAGCGCTCCTCGTGGTTTGAGTCGTTTGGGGTTTCTTGTCCTGGTGTGAGTCGTTCGGGCCCTTTTTCCTGGTGTGAATCGTTCGGGCTCTTCGTGATGTGAGTCGTTCGGGCTCTTCGTCCTGGTGTGAGTCGTTCGGGCTTCTCGTGGTGTGAGTTGTTCGGGCCCCTCGTCGTCGTGTGAGTCGTTCGGGCCCCTCCTCCTGGTGTGACTCGTTCGGGCTCCTCGTGGTGTGAGTCGTTCGGGGCCCTCGTCGTGGTGTGAGTCGTTTTGGGAGCCTCTTGGAGGCCTTTTGGGGCGTCTTCGGGGCCTCTTGGCGGCCCCAGGGGCTTCTAGGAGCGTCTTGGGTGCCTTGGGGGAGCCTCTTCGGGCCTCTTGGGAGCCTCTTGGAGGCCGTTTGGGGCGTCTTGGGGGCCTCTTGGCGGCTCCAGGGGCTTCCAGGAGCGTCTTGGGTGCCTCGGGGGAGCCTCTTGGGGCCTCTTGGGGGCCTCTTGGGGGCATCTTGGGGGCCTCTTGGAGGCCTCTTGGGGCCTCTTGGGGCTCTTTGGGAGGGGTCTGGGAGGAATCTTGGGGCCATCTGTCGGGCGATCGATCACAGATGGGGCGAGCACTTTTCTGCCTCCCCCCGTCGGGGCCAGAATCCTCGTGAGGGGTGTCGAATTTTAGCCCTCCCAGGAGTCGAAAAAGACCCCTCCAACGACCCGCGGGGCGCCCTCTCCAGGCCCAGGGGGAGGGGGTAGGGGGAGGGGTAAACCCCTCCCCGAAGGGGAAGAAGGGGGGTTGAGAACAGAGCGGGCTCTCTAAACCACTCACGCCCAAAGGGCTGGTGGGATTTCTTGGTTCTTGTCTCCGATTCTGTCGCGCGCGGTCTGCAATGATTTTTGGTTTGACGTTCTCTTCCCAACCATCTTGTGGTGTTAGGTCCTCGTTTTGAAAACACAACGCCCCGCGTCACCTCCTCACTCCTCCTCCCTCTTCCCATCGGCCTCAAGCCGCATGCGTCAACGCCACCCAGAGGACAGCGTTTTGCGGCCCCACAGGGAGCTCCACCGAAGGCCCCAACGGTAAGGTTCCCATGGCAAGCCAGGCGTGGACCGCCACCCATTTTGGTGCACCTCTCACGAGGATCGGGGCCCCACAAGGAGCTCCACTGAAGGCTCCAGCGGCAGGATCCACATGCGGGGACCGCCACACATTTTGGCCTACCTCTCACACGGTTCGTGGCCCCACAAGGAGCTTCACCGAAGACCCCAGGGGCAGGTCCGCATGCAGGAACCGCAGCCCATTTTGGCACACCTTTCGCGAGGATCGGGGCCCTACAGTGAGCTCCACCGAAGGCCCCAGAGGCAGGGTCCGCATGCGGGGATCGCCACCCATTTTGACCTACCCGTCACACAGTTCGTGGCCCCACAAGGAGCTTCACCGAAGGCCCAAGGGCAGGGCTTGCATGCGGGGACCGCCACTAATTGTGGCCCACCCCTCACACGATTCGTAGCTCCCCAGGGAACTCCAAGAGCAGGGTCCGCATGCAGAGACCACCGCCCATTTTGGCCTACCCCTCACTCGGTTCGTGGCCCCGCAAAGAGCTCCAACGGAGGTCGCAGCGGCAGGGTCCGCATGTGGGGACCGCCGCCCATTTTGGCCTACCTCTGACACGGATCTGGGCCCCACAAGGAGCTCCACTGAAGGCACCAGCGGCGAAGTCCGCATGCGGGGACCGCCACCCATGATGGCAAACCATTCACACGGTTCGTGGCCCCACAGGGGGCTCCATCGAAGACCCCAGTGGCAAGGTCCGATTGCGGGGGCCGCCGCCCATTTTGGCACATTTCTCGTAAGGATCGGGGACCCGCAAAGAACTCCACCGGAGGCCCCAGAGGCAGGGTCCGCACGCGGGGACCGCCACGCATCTTAGGCCTACCTCCACAGAGGTCTCCACCGAAGGCTGCAGTGGCAAGGTCCGCATGTGGGGACCGCCACTCATTGTGGCCCACCCCTCGCACGATTCGTGGCCCCACGGGGAGCTCCACCGAAGGCCCCAATGGCAAGGTCCGCACGCGCGGACCGCCACACATTTTGGCCGACCCGTCATGCGGATCGTGGTCCCCAAGGAGCCCCACCAAATGCAAGGTCCGCACGCGGGGACCGCAATTCAATTTAGCATACCTTTCACACGGTTCGTGGCCCCCCTGCAGGAGGTTCCACGGAAGGATTCAGCGGCAGGGTCCGCATGCGGGGATTGCCATTCATTTTGGCACACCCCTCCCACGGTTCGTGGCCCCGCATGGAGGTCCACCGAAAGCTCCAGGGCAGGGTCCGCATGCGCGGAATCTCACCTTTTACACAGTTGGTGGCCCCACGGGGAGCCACGGGGAGCTGTTTGTTTTTGGCATCATTGGCGTCGTCCTCATCGGCAGCGTCGGAATCGCCGTTACAATCGTCATCGTCGGAATCGTCAACGTCGTTGTCGTCCTGATCGTTGTCATCGGGCGGGCTTGTAGTCGTTGTTGTCCCTTCGGTCTTTTCGATCTCGTCATTATCCTTGTCTTGCTCCTCTGTTTCTCAATTTTCCCAACTATCAGACGTGCGTTACTGCAGTCCGCGGTGACGGATTAGCATGTCTTTTTATAAAATGGTTGCGGCAAGAAAGTTACTGAATTGAAAGAATGCAACCATATGGATATACATGGATACATATGTGTATGTATATGTCTGTATATATATGTATATATGTATATATACATATATATAGATGTAGAAAGTTCATTGCACACACACACACATTCTTCAACAAGTGGCTCAAACCTTTCTGGAACAAAAACGACGAACTCGCAAAACGATGATTTAATTCTCGTTCGCATGCATCAACCCAATTGGCCCAAGATGCTACTCTCGCTGTGTATGTCGACTCGCAGAGACCCATGGTGGACAGCCAAAACGACAATTGAGCTTATGCCACCCACGCAAGATAGGATGCACCATAGCAATGCTGATCCCATTCGTCTTCAGTACATATTGTAAATATTAGTCGGAACGCAGAAAGGCAAGGTCGTGGGTGGAGGAGTGGTTTTGCAGCGGTTAGTAGGGACATGCGGAGCAATGACGGAGCAAGACATTGTTCTTTGGATCCGCGGAAAATGTACTAATTCATTCATATGGTTTTGGGCGAAGGATATTGTGGTTGGCAATTTCATGCAGACCTCAAAACAAACAACGCATTCCAAATTATTGCGATGCGAGACCTGGCTTTGCCTACGTGCGAATTCCGAATACCGCCTCTGCAAACAAAACCTGTCAAAACGCCGCCCTCATTCTCTCGTTACCTCACGAGCGGACTCGATATCTGCATAACCGAATTCGTCGCGGGGCTGCGCGAGTTTTTCATCGCAGGTGCTCCGGTATCGGAAGCCTTGCCCAATGTGTGGTAATTCTGTGCGCGATCAGGAGACCTAACGTATACACCCGAAGAGCTTACGTGCCCATTCGCTGACTTGCAGGTGCTATAAGGTGTACCTTCTTTTCCTTCTCTTCTTCTTCTTCTTGTGATGTTTCTTGAAACATGTTAGCGTTTCGTATGTTTCACCGCGTTTTGGTTTTCAGACATGCCTTGCATATGTGTTCGACGCGTGGCATTGTATGGAAAAAATATGTATTTCTTTTTGTTGCTTCCTCGAAGCATTGTTGACCATTTTGGGGGGGTGCGTGTGTTTGTGGTTGTGGCACGTAATAGATTATGGATATTGCGCGTAATGTCGACTAAACATAATTATAAGATACATGCGCACACTGCGCGCGCAGCGCGCTAGACAAGTGCGTCCTGGAGCGTATAAAAAGATTCAAAACCGGCGCATTTGCAAACAAATATTTGAATGTCAGGTTTTCCCCGCAAGCCCGGCCTACCTGTATGGGGTCAAACGTTTTCGGGAACATATTTTTCGACAGGCCTCTCGGGGGTATATATATATATATATCCGGCATATATATATGTGTGTATATATATACACATATATATACATTCCAAGTCATTTGATACATAACATATGTGTGTATAATATATGTATGTATGTATGTATTATGTATTTATGTATGTGTGTGTTTATCGGTACAGGCATATTGCTGCAATCTGGAAATGTTTGAATATTGATCAAAGTCCTTCACAAATCTTAGCGGAATTGTATAGGAGTTTGGCGCTCTGACCTGACGTACTTTGGCGGGTGAGTTTGTCAGGCGAGAGGTGTCGCAGCAAAATTGTGAGTCGCAGATTCCAACTATTCTCCTAGCGAAATCTACCGCCCATAATGCCACGCATTTGTATTAACATGCTCGCACCGCACGTGTTGTCTACGCCGCCCGCGCCGTTTGCACCGCCCGTGCCACCCGCGCCGCCCGTCGCCCGCGATTGCGGGCGCTCATGCGCGTCCATATCGACTCACTTAATCGTAGGCAATGCGGGCTGCGCGCGCCAAAACTTTCCGTTCTTCACCGTTTTTTTTTCCCCTCCCCGCGCTCTTCATATTTCTGGCCGTTTTCGCTCCTCCCTTTCGTTTCTTCCTTTCCGCATCCCCTTTCCCTCAGTCCTTGGCCTTCCCTCAGTCCTTGGCTGACTTTTATGGGGTATTTGTGTCTGCGAAGAAGAAGGCGGGGGAAAGGACGGGGAGATAGGACAGAGACGGGATTGAAATGCGCGACGGCGGTGCGCGAAAGAAACAGAAAAAACCAATGGAAGTGGAAACGTCGGGACGGAAGGCAGACGGAAAACAACCATGAGCACGAGAAGCGGGGCGTGTGCCCGATGTACGGCTACGAGAGGCGAGGGCATGTGTCCGATGTAGCGATTTTGTGTGTCGTATACCCTTCTCATTTGCAAATAATTGTATCCGTGTGTAAGGGTGAAATTCAGCATGTCGCACACTTTGACATTTTCTCTTGTAATCTTAATTTGATCCTATAACAATCCCGCATATTGTGCAGGATGTGGGTCATGGAACCGTCGCGAGACTATCGTGTTGAGCTCCAGTGATCCCGGAAATGCTTTGTGAAAACGTATGTGATAAGACATCCGTCACCAGCAGAGGTTGCGAAGAAAGGCGCCCCCGGCCAAAGGGGATCTGCCCTGAGCAGATCGTCTACGCAGCGCACAAAATGACGAGAAAGAATACTGCAAGGCTTTCCCGAATCGTCTGACGCGCCCGACCCACCGAATGGTAGATTTGCATAGCTGGTTCGCCCCAGATTTCACGTGTTCCGTCGAATGTACAACAACTTTGTGGATTGTCCCGTAACATTGCATAGCATTCCGCGTTCTGTGAAGCGAGATTGGACGAGAAGCAACTTCAGTGCAACCCAATTATGTAGTCGATCCTTTATAGTCAACGCGCATGGAAAGGATGCGCGCATGTTTTAGGGTACCCTCGTGTCCTTGCCTCTGCGGCCCGTTGTTTGCAGTTTAGACGCAGAATTTTTGTCCGAAGGCGCGAGGGTTTTGACAAGTTCCGCTGCCTTCTGTGAAGGCCTTTTCCTTCTCGTTGCCCCCCGTTCGCCGCCGATCCAACTGTCCTGCGTCCTTGTCACCCGTCCTCGCTATACGTCTTCACTATGCTCGAGCCCCTGCCGCCGCGGCGACGCGGCACTGTCGGGTCTGCGCGAGCCTCGTGGCCCCAGCGGCTGTGCTCACATGCTTCCCTGCCACCCATTCCCCATCGAGAGCAAAACAGCCCCTAACCTTACTAGCGCGATGAAAGCGTATTTTTTTCTCAGGTCCCCATCTTCGCATAAGGGATCATAGTGATTATGGGCTGTTTGGCCTGATGCATGTGCAGGAATTCCCCTTGTCCCTAATGTTCCTCCTAAGTTAGGTCCCCCCCCAAAGGTAAGAGGTACTTCCGTTGCCTATCAATTCCGGCGCACCCCTCACACGCTGCGGGCCCCATGGGGGGCCCCACCGAAAACCCGCATGGCTGTGATCCTCTACGGTCAGCCCGCACAGTAGGGATGGGCAACCTTCCCAAGGGTACCCTTGCACCCCTCCCCGTCGACCCATCCCTGACCGCTTCCGTTGGCCGCACCCCGCGCGCACAGGGTCGACACATGGGTTTCCGAGGCCCTCGCGTCCCTCTCGTGCGTGCTGATCATACGAGCAGGCTGTACACGCTCAGAAGAAACAGAAACACACAGACACAATTGATCGTCGATTCCCCAGAAGAGATGGGAAACTATGGGAAGTGGGGGGGAAGACACAAACCCAGAAAATATGGGAAAACATGTGGGGGAATCTTTTGATTTGTGTGTATTTATCTGTGTGTCCCAGGGCCCCTTCATACGCCTCCGCCGTGCTCGAGCCCCGGCCGCGACAGCGGCGCGGCCCGGCGGGTCTACGCGAGCCTCGTGGCCGACCACCGCGCGGGCCTGCTCGGCGACGGGGCTGCGCGCGTCGACGCCGTGCTGCCCGGCGGCCTGCTGCTGAGCCGCGCCGCCGCGGCCGGGCAGACGGTCACCGGCGCCTGCGCGCCTGGCCCGCCGAGCCGAGCTGAGCCGAGCTGATGGGCTTGGGGGGATCGAGGAGGAGGATGAGCAGTGGCCAGCGCGCCGGAAGCCCTTAGGTGACCAAAGAAAGTTCGTCTAGAGGGCACGCCGGCTCACTGTGGGAAGTTGGCAAGTACTATTCATGGAGTCTCCGATTCGCCCCGCCATCGGTGTCAAACACCCATTATCGTTCCTGGTCGCATTCGCCCTGGGAGGCCCGAGTATTTTTCCCGTGCCAAAGTTGGCGCGGCCTTGTCCATTTGATACGGGACCCTGTCCGCAGCAAAGATTATGTGTTTTTTTTCGCTTGTTCGTTTGGTGGAGGGAAAATGAAACATAATACATATATATATATATACCGTTGTCGTGCAGGAGCAAACGTTCGCCATAGAAAACAGGATCCACAGGAACGTCATCGCGCAGGGCAAATGGTCGTTCATGGGAACATGTTTGTGGCAATAGGCAGATGACATATACATATACAGACACTTATGTATTTATATAAACACATATATATACACACCTGATTATAATTACAACTTGATCCCCCGCGGTTTCTAATTTCTTGGTTCTTGTCACCGATTCTGTCGCGCGCGGTCTGCAATGATTTTTGGTTTGACGTTTTCTTCCCAACCATCTTGTGGTGTTAGGTCTTCGTTTTGAAGACACAACGCCCCGCGACACCTCCTCACTCCTCCTCCCTCTTCCCATCGGCCTCAAGCCGCATGCGTCAACGCCACCCAGGACAGCTTTTCGCGGCCCCACAGGGAGCTCCACCGAAGGCCCCAACGGTAAGGTTCCCATGGCAAGCCAGGCGGGGACCGCCACCCATTTTGGTACACCTCTCACGAGGATCGGGGCCCCACCAGGAGCTCCACTGAAGGCTCCTGCGGCAGGATCCACATGCGGGGGCCGCCACACATTTTGGCCTACCACTCACACGGTTCGTGGCCCCACAAGGAGCTTCACCGAAGACCCCAGGGGCAGGTCCGCATGCAGGAACCGCAACCCATTTTGGCACACCTTTCGCGAGGATCGGGGCCCTACAGTGAGCTCCACCGAAGGCCCCAGAGGCAGGGTCCGCATGCGGGGATCGCCACCCAGTTCGTGGCCCCACAAGGAGCTTCACCGAAGGCCCCAGGGGCAGGGTTTGCATGCGGGGACCGCCACTAATTGTGGCCCACCCCTCACACGATTCGTAGCTCCCCAGGGAACTCCAAGAGCAGGGTCCGCATGCAGAGACCACCGCCCATTTTGGCCTACCCCTCACTCGGTTCGTGGCCCCGCAAAGAGCTCCAACGGAGGTCGCAGCGGCAGGGTCCGCTTGTGGGGACCGCCGCCCATTTTGGCCTACATCTGACACGGATCTGGACCCCACAAGAAGCTCCACTGAAGGCACCAGCGGCGAAGTCCGCATGCGGGGACCGCCACCCATGATGGCAAACCATTCACACGGTTCGTGGCCCCACAGGGGGCTCCATCGAAGACCCCAGTGGCAAGGTCCGACTGCGGGGGCCGCCGCCCATTTTGGCACACTTCTCGTAAGGATCGGGGCCCCGCAAAGAGCTCCACCGGAGGCCCCAGAGGCAGGGTCCGCACGCGGGGACCGCCACGCATCTTAGGCCTACCTCCACAGAGGTCTCCACCGAAGGCTGCAGTGGCGAGGTCCGCATGTGGGGACCGCCACTCATTGTGGCCCACCCCTCGCACGATTCGTGGCCCCACGGGGAGCTCCACCGAAGGCCCCAATGGCAAGGTCCGCACGCGCGGACCGCCACACATTTTGGCCGACCCGTCATGCGGATCGTGGTCCCCAAGGAGCCCCACCAAATGCAAGGTCCGCACGCGGGGACCGCAATTCAATTTAGCATACCTTTCACACGGTTCGTGGCCCCCCTGCAGGAGGTTCCACGGAAGGATTCAGCGGCAGGGTCCGCATGCGGGGATTGCCATTCATTTTGGCACACCCCTCCCACGGTTCGTGGCCCCGCATGGAGGTCCACCGAAAGCTCCAGGGCAGGGTCTGCATGCGCGGAATCTTACCTTTTACACAGTTGGTGGCCCCACGGGGAGCCACGGGGAGCTGTTTGTTTTTGGCATCATTGGCGTCGTCCTCATCGGCAGCGTCGGAATCGCCGTTACAATCGTCATCGTCGGAATCGTCAACGTCGTTGTCGTCCTGATCGTTGTCATCGGGCGGGCTTGTAGTCGTTGTTGTCCTTTCGGTCTTTTCGATCTCGTCATTATCCTTGTCTTGCTCCTCTGTTTCTCAATTTTCCCAACTATCAGACGTGCGTTATTGCAGTCCGCGGTGACGGATTAGCATGTCTTTTTATACAATGGTTGCGCCAAGAAAGTTACTGAATTGAAAGAATGGAGCCACATGGATATACATGGATACATATGTGTATGTATATGTCTGTACATATATATATATGTATACACACATATATATATAGATGTAGAAAGTTCATTGCAAACACACATTCTTCAACGAGTGGCTCAAACCTTTCTGGAACAAAAACGACGAACTCGCAAAACGATGATTTAATTCTCGTTCGCATGCATCAACCCAATTGGCCCAAGATGCTACTCTCGCTGTGTATGTCGACTCGCGGAGACCCATGGTGGACAGCCAAAACGACAATTGAGCTTATGCCACCCACGCAAGATAGGATGCACCATAGCAATGCTGATCCCATTCGTCTTCAGTACATATTGTAAATATTAGTCGGAATGCATATTGGCAAGGTCGTGGATGGAGGAGTGGTTTTGCAGCGGTTAGTAGGGACATGCGGAGCAATGACGGAGCAAGACATTGTTCTTTGGATCCGCGGAAAATGCACTAATTCATTCATATGGTTTTGGGCGAAGGATATTGTGGTTGGCAATTTCATGCAGACCTCAAAACAAACAACGCATTCCAAATTATTGCGATGCGAGACCTGGCTTTGCCTACGTGCGAATTCCGAATACCGCCTCTGCAAACAAAACCTGTCAAAACGCCGCCCTCATTCCCTCGTTACCTCACGAGCGGACTCGATATCTGCATAACCGAATTCGTCGCGGGGCTGCGCGAGTTTTTCATCGCAGGTGCTCCGGTATTGGAAGCCTTGCCCAATGTGTGGTAATTCGGTGCGCGATCAGGAGACCTAACGTATACACCCGAAGAGCTTACGTGCCCATTCGCTGACTTGCAGGTGCTATAAGGTGTACCCTTTTTTCTTTCTCTTCTTCTTCCTTTTGTGATGTTTCTTGAAACATGTTAGCGTTTCGTATGTTTCACCGCGTTTTGGTTTTCAGACATGCTTTGCATATGTGTTCGATGCGTGGCATTGTATGGAAAAAAATGTATTTATTTTTTTTGCTTCCTCGAAGCATTGTTGACCATTTTGGGGGGGTGCGTGTGTTTGTGGTTGTGGCACGTAATAGATTATGGATATTGCGCATAATGTCGACTAAACATAATGATAACATGCATGCGCACAATGCGCGCAGCGCGCTAGACAAGTGCGTCCTGGAGCGTATAAAAAGATTCAAAACCGGCGCATTTGCAAACAAGTATTTGAATGTCAGTTTCTTCCCGCAAGCCCGGCCTACCTGTATGGGGTCAAACATTTTCGGGCATATTTTTTTCGACAGGCCCCTCGAAGGGGGCGAGTGGATAGGTATTTGGCACCATTCTGTATCGTGGTTGGTTTTGTGCCGAGTGGTATCTGCAATTAATAATGAACTCAGAAAACGTGTATATGCGTGCAGACATCGATCCCTAATATCCGTACGATCAGACGTTTTGGATGTGAATCGTGATTGAATGCTTATGACTAAAATTTTCGTGGAATTTATTTATATATATATATATATCCGGCATCTATATATATATATATATATATATATATATATATTGTATATACACTCCAAGTCATTTGATACATAACATATATGTGTGTATCATATATGTATGTATGTATTATGTATATTTGTATGTGTGTATACATCGGTACAATCATACTGCTGCAATCTGGAAATGTTTGAATATTGATCAAATTCGTTCAAAAATCTTAGTGGAATTGTATAGGAGTTTGGCGCTCTGACCTGATGTACTTTGGCGGGTGAGTTTGTTAGGCGAGAGGTGTCGCAGCAAAATTGTGAGTCGCAGATTCCAATTATTCTCCTACCGAAATCTACCGCCCATAATGCCACGCCTTTGTACTAACATGCTCGCACCGCCCGTGTTGTTTACGCCGCCCGCACCGCTTGCACCGCCCGTGCCACCCGTGCCGCCCGCGATTGCGGGTGCTCATGCGCGTTCATATCGGTTCACATAATCGTAGGCAATGCGATGCGGCTCGCGCGTGCCAGAACTTTCCGTTCTTCACCGTTTCCCTCCCCTCCCCCGCGTTTTTTTATTTTTCTGGCCGTTTTCGCTCCTCCTATTTTTTGTTTCCCTCTTTTTGTCTCCCTATCCCCCTGCTGTGCCCTTTCGTTTCTTCTTTTCCGCATCCCCTTTCCCTCAGTCTTTGGCCTTCCCTCAGTCTTTGGCTGATTTTTATGCGGTATTTGAGTCTGCGAAGAACAAGGCGGGGGAAAGGAAGGGGAGATAGTTAGACAGAGACGGGATGGAAGTGCGCGACGGCGGTGCGCAAAAAAAACAAAATTATCCTGGCAAAGCAACCTACTAGCGATGTGTAGGAGCATATCTCGAAGCATTCCCCTTAGGATTCAGATGAGAATCCAGTTGTGGAATTGTGCTGTTCTCGCAGTCGTAGTCGCATTCGCGATGACAATCGCAGTGGTAACCGGCAGTCACAGACACAGCCTCAGCCTGCCTCAGCCTCAGCTTCAGCCTGCCTCAGCCTCAGCCTGCTTCAGCCTCAGCCTCAGCCTGCTTCAGCCTCAGCCTCAGTCTGCCTTCAGCCTCGGCGTCAGCCTCAGGCTGCCTCAGCCTCAGCCTGCATCGGCCTCAGCCTCAGCCTCAGCCTGCCTCAGCCTCAGCCTCAGCCTGCGTCAGCATTCAAAATGTGGCCCGGGAATGGAATTCTGGGAACCCGAAGAATACGAAGTGGCCTACAGTTGGCTCCGGGCATTCAAAATCATGCCCAGGAATTGAGTTCTGGGAACTCGAAGACCACGAAGTGGCTTACAGTTGGCTCCGGGCATCTAAAATCTGGCCCGGGAATGGAATTCTGGGAACTCGAACACCAAGAAGTGGCCTACAATTGGCTCGGGATGTCCAAAATCTGGCCCGGGAATGGAATTTTGGGAACTCGAAGAGCACGAAGTGGCTTACAGGTGGCTCCGGGCATTCAAAATGTGGCCCGGGAATGTAGTTCTGGGGACTCGAAGACCACGAAGTGGCCTTCAGCTGGCTCTGGGCATTAAAAATATGGCCCGGGAATCGAATTCTGGGAAGTCGAAGAGCACGAAGTGGCTTACAGTTGGCTCCGGGCATTCAGAATGTGGCCCGGGAACGGAGTTCTGGGAGGTCGAAGAGCACGAAGTGTGTGACTGTTGGCTTAAAACGACTTCTGCGGCACCCTGTCCGGCACCCGATCAGACCCCCCTGTGGAGTAATGTGCTGCTCTCTTTTGAAAGAAATAGAAACCTAGCAGTCTTCGCTGTTCGGTGGAAGTGGAGACGTCGGGACAAAAGGCAAACGGAAAAAAAATTGAGCACGAGAAGCGGGGCGTGGTGTGCCGGATATACGGTTACGAGAGGCGAGGGCGTGTGTCCGAAGTAACGATTTTGAGTGTCGTATACCCTTCTTATTTGCAAACAGTTGTATCCGTGTGTAAGGGTGACATTCAGCATGTCGCACATTCTGATATTTCTGTACTAGTCTTAATTTGATCCCATAACAATCCCGCATTTTAGATTATGCAGGTTGTGGGTCATGAAACCGTCGCGAGGCTATCGTGATCCCGGAAATGCTTTGTAAAAACGTATGTGATAATACATAGTACTTTGAAATTGCAAAACAAAAAAAAAACGACAGGTGCACGCTGACCAACGATGCGATACAATGCTCGCATCGGTCTTGACTGCAACGGTGATTACGGTCACGGCATCACCAACAATAACAAATGTGAGTGTCTAAGGGAAACAACGAATGCTGCCGCATTTGCAGTACAATTAACCCGCATAATAAAAACGCGAGATAAAGATGCGGGGGGCGCTCAACGATGGAAAAAGGAAGCATGGATACAAGATAAATCTTCGACATGCGACCCATTTTTACTATGCGGATTCACTGTATCAACCCCCGCGCGGTTCAAATCGGTGCTAAACGCCGCATCTCGGGCCACGCTGATGCCGGGAGAACAAGGAGGTGGAGGAAAAGAAAAAACGAAGAGAACATATCATGGGGATAAAATTGGTAAAAACAGCAGAACAACAGAACAACCGAAAAGAACAACGATCTCGAACGCATCTTCATCTCTTCAGAAGAAAACATGAAAAATTATCCCGGCAAAACAAACCTAACAGCGATGTGTACAAGCATATTTGAAAACATTCCCCTTAAGATTCAGGTGAAAATCCAGTTGTAGAATTCTGTTGTTCTCGCAATCGTAGTGGCATTCGCGATGACAGTCGCAGCGGCGACGGCAGTCGCAGTCACAGCCTCAATCTCAGCCTGCCTCAGCCTCAGCCTCAACCTGCGTCAGCCTCAGCCTCAACCTGCCTCAGTCTGCCTTCAGCCTCTGCTTCAGCCTGCCTCAGCCTCAGCCTGCATCAGCTTCAGCCTCAACCTCAGCCTGCTCAGCCTGCCTCAGCCTCAACCTCAATTTGCCCCAGCTTCAGCCTCAGTCTGCTTCAGCCTCAGCCTCAGTTTGCCTTCAGCCTTGGCCTCAGCCTGCCTCAGCCTCAGCCTGCCTCGGCCGCACCATCAGCCTGCTTCAACATTCAAAATATGGCCCAAGAGTGGAGTTCTGGGCACTAGAAAAACACGAAGTGGCCTACAATTAGTTGTCTCCGGGCATTCACAAAGTGGCCCGGGAATGGAGTTCTGGGAACTTGAAGAGGTTCTGGGAACTTGAAGAGCACGAAGTCGCCTGCAGTTGGTTCCGGGCATTCAAAATCTGGCCCGGGAGCGGAATTCTGGGAAGTCGAACACCACGAAGTGGCCTACAGTTGGCTCCGGGCATCCAAAATGTGGCCCGGGAATGGAATTTTGGGAACTCGAAGAGCACGAAGTGGCTTACAGTTGGCTCCGGGCATTTAAAATGTGGCCCGGGAATGGAGTTCTGGGAGGTCGAAGAGCACGAAGTGTGTGACTGTTTGCGAAAAAGGAGTGCGGCGGCAGCCTGTCCGGTTCCTGCCCCGACCCCCCTGAGGAGTCATGATGCTCTCTCTCTTTTGAGAGCACTAGAAACCTATCAGCAAGAGCTGTTGATAATAACAATTTATTCCCTACCTAGGCTCTGCCTAGAAGGGTTCTTACTCTCTGGCTTAAAGGGGCTGGGCAGAAGAAAGCGCCCCAACGGGTCCCCCAATCCCCTGGGAGCTGGGAGCTTTAGCTTTAGCTTTTGTAGCTTAGCTTTAGCGTAGCGTTTCGCTTAGCTTTTCGCTTAGAGTTTAGCTTAAGCTTTCGCTTAGCTGTAACTTAGCTTTAGCTTAGCTGTTGCTCAACTTTAGCTTTAGCTTAGCTTTAGTTTTAACTTAACTTTAGCTTAGCTTTAGCTTAGCGTTACTATTACTACTAATGCTGCTTTCCTAAGGGTTCCAACTCCTAGGTAGGGTCGCACTTGGATAATATTGATGAGATCTACAACAAATGTGAATTAAAACCGTTACCGACATGAATCGCAATTCTTCCGCCAAACCCCATCTCTGCGCCGAAAGATTCCTCAATCGCTCTGTACAAGGTACGCGTCTTCCGTCTGTCCTCAATCCTGCTCTGTTTCGGGAAAAGGTTTTAGCCCGCACTCTCCCTCCACGTGCTTGTGAAGGAGGGGGAACGCGAGGCGCTAACTAATCCTTCAAATCACCCAAAATGGCTCGAGGAAGGCCTCAGAGGCCGCAAGATGGCCTCCCAAATGGCTCAAATCAAACCAAGATGACTCACTATAGCCTCCCACGCACAAGAAGCCGTCAAAACGGCCCTACGACGGTTTCAAGTGCCCTCCGAGCCCTCCAAGGACCCGCCCGAGAAGCAACAACGGTCCAACACCTAAAGACCATGTATGATGTTTGCATTCTCTCCTTTTCGCTTCCGATGTGCCTCGGATGCCTTAAGATGGCCTCAAGATGGCCAACGAGACCGACCCCTGAGAGGGATCCATAGTGGCTCCAAAACTGCGCAAAGAGCACCCAAGAGCGCTCTGCCCTAAAGGGGGCCCGAAGACACCATTTTTGAATCCCCAAGGGGGGGTGAATGTACTCCCCCCCCACTTTTGGAACAATGAGCTCAAAGTTGCCTCAAGAACCCCCCTGGCGATCTGTTTCTGGATGGGCTGGTGGTGGCACGCGAAGCGTCATTTATTTTCGATCTTGCAAAAAGTAGCGAGCACTGGGTTCAACCTTAGAACACACAGAACCGATGGGTAAAGCAGAACCGATCTCGTCCCATGACCACCCTCGCAATGGACCAAGGTGGATGAGTAGCTGGAACTAATATTATCAAGCTTTGTAAACACGGATCGACCTTTCGGAAACCCCAACCTATGTTGCCCGCAATGCGCCTGCGGGATGCTGACCGCCTCCTCCTCCTCCTCGTCGTCCTCCTCCTTCTTCTCCTCCTCCTCCTGTGGTACTGCTTAGAATGAGCTTACTTTGTTGCACTGTTTTCTGGTTTGCAAGCGTTATCGTTGCACCCATGGTATGTTGTTCGATGCCGTTTGCCAACAATTATTCTCTGATATGTTCAAGCCCTCCAGACGGAACCAGACGCCACCAAGACGCTGCATGCGGCCCCCTTAAACCCTAAGAAGAAACCGAATCCATCAGCGTCTGCGCCTTCTCAACGCTTCGGGGCGGTGCGTGAAACCTCCACGACGGCTCAAAAGGGGCTCCACAACGGCCCTGAAAGTGCGCCCGAACGGACATTTCGAGACTTTGCCCCCAAAAGCTCAAAACAACTCGAAGAGGCCCCCACTATTCTGTGAGATCGCTGCTGCACCTCCAACTGCCATCACGGACCAAGCTAGGCCAATAACCAACAACCGGTGTGGCCATCTTCCACAACAAACAAAACCAACTCACAACACAAGGTACGCAGAAGTGATCGATTTGGGTGCATGATATCACGTCGGAACCCACAAATGACGGTCAATGCTGCGGAACTCGTTGGATATTACCTGTTACGGACACCGCTATTTCACTGCCATTGATTTTAGAGGCGGGTGCCGTTCTTCTGTTGTGTTTTCTATGTGCTGTTCGTTGCGGACGACCTTGCCCAATTGCCGAAGAAATAACTAGCACCGTCATTCCGTTTGCGAACCCGTTGCTGCCGCATTATCCCGCATGCTGCCATGCGCATTTGAAACGACCGACATCGCCCGCCTCACTTGGTATCGATGAGCGCGATCGGTGGGAACTAATGGGAATGCAGTCGAAACAAAGCGGGAACAACTAATGCAGTATCTACGGAGGGCCCGTTCCATAGCTCGAGGAAGCGGATAAGGTCGGAGACCGATGGAGGATGAGAAAACAGAGAACTATAGAAAGTCTCGTCCCGAAGGTCTCAGAAGGTTTCTGAGCACCTCTGGACGACAACAGGTGGGCGAACACACTAACATCTGAACCACTTTCCTCCAATCTCTTCTTCCCTTCCCCTTGCTGAAGGGAAGTCCGCGCGCCGCCAATCCAGCGCCCCTATGGGGCAAGAGTAGCTCGCAGTGTCCAACGAAGTCTGCGTTCTGGCTCAAACGTCTCGCATGCTCTGGCAAGGCACCGCGGGCGAACACGGGCCACCGAGCTTTGCTACACACGAGCGCCAGCTGGCAGCGCTGAGGCAACACCGACGAGCCCAGGTAACAAACAAAATGCACGGCGCGCAGAAGCTTGACTGATCGGCGCGCTGGCGCTGAGAGACGTATTGCATGTGAATGGCAATCGTGAGCCGAATTTGAAGCGCGGCCCGAACCTGTTTGCCTAGAGCACTCACGCGCCGTGCCCTTCTGCCTCCTGTCAACTCCTTTCCATCCGCAGGGGGAGGGAGGGAGACCTGGAGTGGTACGGTAGAGGGAAACAATTAGTGAACACCCCCCCCTGCCCCCCCAAACTCAAAGTTGGAACGCGCGGGGGGAGACTGCAGTCGAGGTGAAGCAGAGGGAGGACCGAGGAGGAGGGGGGGTGAGAAGGGAAGGGATGACGAGGTGCCCCCGCTCTTCTTGATAAAGGATCAAGGCTGTGAGACTGCTGTTGGCAAGCCCCCGGATTCAGAGGACGAGGGGGAGGAAACACACAGAGTACTTAGCAAAACTTGAAAAGAGGCGGGAAGGCAGGAAACGGAGGACAAGGATGTCTGCCAGCCCCCAACGACAACTTGAACATATGTCCCCTGACCCTGGAATATCCCTGCACGTAGAACTCTAGACCCACCGCCAACTTTGAACATTGGGGGCACGGGGAGGCGTTGACAGATGAATGCGGCAGGAGTGTTCGCTATTTCTTCCCGAGGCCTGTACGGCTGTGGAGCGCGTGACCCACCGGCGGGCCAAGCCTGCTGGTGCCACCGCCCTGGAGGCGAGTACGGTGGTCGCAACCACTCACCGTGGCCGACACTCAGGGGGGGCAGGGGGGACAGGGAGAAGACTACGTCCTCACTCTGATCGAACGCTTCGCTGGCAATCGTGCGTTGCTGGGAGCTGGAAGGTGGTGCAGTGTGCTGTGCCAACTCGCCGTGTGCAGTCGGAGTTGTAGGCCGAGCGGTCGCTCGCGCCGATGGCAACCTCGTCTCCCATTGGGATGGCAAGTGGGCAGACATTGGTTCCACATTCTGCCCGCTCGTCGTGCCAATCCTCTGCTGCTACGGGCACTTCGAGGCCGCGCCGTGACGAGGCGGCAACGCATGGCGTAGTCACCCCGCACGTAATATTGGTGCGCCGTCGCTGCAAATAACGGATGAGCGGGCCGGGTGGTTCTGACTGGGGTCTGGAGGAAACTCAGAAGGCGAGTGCGCGTTATAGTTATATACTAACATGTGGACCGCGCTATAGGCATCTGTGTATATATATGTATATACAAGTGGCACGTGTGTGCCCAGGCTCATACAAAAAACTGAAGGGGCGTTTGAAGCAGGAGTGAAATGCAACATCGAAGTCGCACTCGAGCGCAAGTGGGGCTGCCACACCTTGCGATGTGTGTACCAGGGCCCCCAGGAAGCCTTAGGAGGCCCGACTTGGATACCAGAAGAGGCTCCAGGAGGCCCCAAAATGTGAGTGTTGTGCGTGTGTGTGTGTGTGTGTTTGTGATGTATGCTTCGTGTGGTGCGTGCTTTTTGTGTGTTGTAGGTGTTGTGTGTGTGTGTGTGCGTGTGTGTGTGTGTGTGTGTGTGCGTGTGTGTTATGTTTGTCTAGCGTGTGATGTGTTGGGCGTGATTTGTGTCTCTGTGTGCATGTAGCTCTGAAGCCCCAGGAGGCCCCAGGAGGCCCCAGGCGGCCTCAGGAGGCCCCAGGAGACCCCAGGAGGCTTCAGGAGGCCCCAAGAGGCTCCAGGAGGCCGCAGGAGGCCCCAGGAGGCCCCAAGGAGGTTTCAGGACACCCCCAGGAGGCTCCGAGGCGGGGTCTGGGGTGCCAGAAGGTTCAGACGGCCCAGGAGGCCCCAGGAGGTTCCAGGAGGCCCCCAGGAGGCTCCGAGGCGGGGTCTGGGGCTCGATTTTGGAAGGATTTTTCAAGCGAAACCGCCATTCACTGAGAATCGGGGTCACAATTATTGGAATTACCATGTGTTTTTGAAGGTTTTATGTTAAAATGTTGAATTTTCCATTTGTTTTTGGACCCTGACGTCGCGATCTGCGTGAGGGGTGCCACCGATTTTCAGAATTTCGAGGATGTCCCGAGCGAAACGCCCAGAAAAATCGCGGACGCGTGCGCATTAATCGCCTCTGAGCTCTACTCCCTCGGAGAGGTGCGTATGAGAATATCCGATTGAAAACCACTGCAAACAAGGATTCCTATTGAGAGCACCCACGAAAGTAATCCATTGAGCGTGCAAACGATCCTCCTGCACTACAGCCGATCAGGGCGAGGTCGCCAGTGCACTACACTCTATCCCGACCGAGCTCGCAGAAGAAGTTTGGTCAGCCATTCGTGCAGTTTCACCGCGAGCTCTGTCAGCCTCGCGCCTCACGGCAAAGTACAATTTCTCAGAGCGGTTCTACATAGGGGACTGGGAGATCATGCTGGTCGACGAATCCTACTTGGCACTTTGCATGTACTACGCCTCGCTTGATTTCGCGGTCCGCTGGTCAAGCCCGCTCTGGCTGATGACTGGCGCGGACCCCGGACGAGAGCTGGAAATAATTTCAAACAGAGTGAACCAAGCAATTCAGGGCGCAGTGGATGCCAATGTGGTGCGGCGACCGCTGACCAGGGAGGAGATTTTAATGCTCCCAGCGGTCGCTACCGAGTCGGCCGCATGATCTGTCGTCAGTGGGACTGGGTCAGTTTCGCGAGCGGGAGTCGGCCCTGAGCTGTGATGGTGGGGGGGTCTCTCTTTTCGGCTTTTTCTGCTTGTGAGGTGTTCGCGAGCGGATGTTGGCCTCTCTTTAGTAGCGCAGCTCAGGGCCGTAGAATTCATTTTCTATACTTGAGAATTCTGGTGAGCAAGCAGATGCCCATTTTGCCCCTCCACGTGGTCATCACAACGTGGAAGGTTGGCTTTGCAGTGCCCATGCTCTGACACGGGATCCGAGAGGCAAGCATGTGGCATTTGGTCAACTCGTTGCCTCGAGAAATGAGTTGCATACCGACAGCTCTTTGGTCTTACTCATGCTGCTGCCTTTTGGCTTTCTCACCGCACGTCCCTACGTTCGGCTCTCTGCTTCGCCCTTCGCCGTTTGGGCGGTGGGGGGGCGGGGTGGGTGGGTGGCCTCAGGAATTCATAGTGACTTGACGCGCCTCGTACAAAATATTTATTGGGCCGTCTTGGGGACCTCTTGGCCCCACCTGGGCTGTCATTGGCCACTCTTGGGCGCTTCTTAGGCCGTCTCAGGGCGATCCTGGAGGGCTCTTGGGCCGTCTTGGGGGTCCAGACGGTCGACAGCAGAGCACGAGAATCTCAGAATCCGTAGAAAACCTAAACGGAAATCTTCGATTTCGGCCTCTTGGCGCCCTGTAGGATGTCCCCTCGGAACTGTCTCGGGGCGTCTTGGCGTGATATGGGGCCGTCTTGGGAGCATCTTGGGCCGTCGGAGAGCCGTCTTGAACCAGCTCGAGGCTATCGTTGGTTGCCTCGGGGCCTCCTTGGGCCGCCTCGGGGCTCTTCTGGGAGCTCGGGTGCCGTTTCGGGGCCCTCCAGGGGCCCTCCGGTGGCGTTTCGGGCTCCCGGAGGGGTTCGGGGAGCCGGTGGCCCTCGCCAACTCGCAAAGCTTCTTACGGATTTATTTGAGTTGATACAGAGATTTTTGTATATTCGTATGAGCATGTGTATTTTTCCCGAACGCTTGCATGTTTGTGAGCATTCAACTGTACCAGGAATACGGGCGTCCGACAATCGTGGGTGTAGGTATGTGAGCACATTCGCGCAACGATTTAGCACCACACGTAGACATATACACACATGTATACATATCATACACACACTTATTCGGAATCTGCATGCGGATTATCGCATAGTATAGTATATGTGCGCGTGCATACAACAATTCCCACGTGTATGCGTTGGCCATCGTGGACACCACGCAACGGATCTCTACCAGTAGAGATGGTGCAATCTACGTCAACTGGTGCATTCCACGTCACGCAATCGATGTGGTGCGATCTTGTGTAGTGCAACATCTGTGGTGCAAGTAACCATTGAGAGCTTGGATTTGTTAATTCCACTGCTCGCGCATTCATCCCACACATCCACCAGCAATTTGGCTAGCAGAGCCCATGCGGCGGCGATTGCGATGACTGCTGGGCGCTGGCTGGCGCATATTTGCGGTCGCGCTAGCGCGCGCAAACTCGCGCGCAGAGCGGTCAACTAATTGGGCACAACAAGCGCCGCCGAGGTGGCGCTGACCACTGGGGATTCCCCACCGCTTCTCTCAGGCCGCGCTGGCGCGCAGGCGCTTCAGTGTGGGTCGGTGACTCGGGGGCGCGGTACCATGGAGTCGTCGACAACGGCGGAAACGTCTCTGATAGTAGCGATGATGGTAACGCTGGCGCCGGTAACGACGGCAAGGCCAAAGACGGCGCTTATGAGGGTCACGCTGCTGACGGTGGTGCCCACGTGTCGGTGATGAAAATTTTTGGGGAGACCTCGGCATGCGCTCGCGCGGCCCACGCGCGCGAGTGGCCCGCATACTATTCGTTGACGACAAAGATCGTGCCCCTCCCAGCAAGCGAGCAAGGGCATTCGAATGATTTCGACTTGCGCGTGCGAGATGACATTTGACGAAATACTAGATGACAAATGTTTGTCAAGACTCCGCAGGTGCGCGCGAGCAGTTGTTTTGAGTGTGTGTAAAGCTTAGCAAGATAAGCGAAAGACAGCCGTGCAACGCCATTGCACTTTTTTAATGTTTCCGGGGGCCCCAATCTTGAAATTCTCACGGAACTTACAACATGCGCGCGGGCGATAGAGCGCGCGTGTGGACATTGTCGTGTTTATTGTTGACGAGGGCTCTCGAACATGTTATGGCTATTTATAGACAAGTGCGCGCGCATTGTATGATCAGAAAAAAACATGCCAGGGGGGGGTCGGTACCGGCCTGGCTGGAATGGTTTGATGGAAAATGAACGATAGGGCAGAACCAATGCAATTTGCAACGTCCGACGGGGTAGCACTACTTCCTGTCGTGGGAGGGGGATAGCGGCTACTCTTCTTGGGAGAAAGGGAATCTACGACGGGCGGCGACGGGGCGGCGCCGGCGACAACATAGCCGCCAGACCGCCACACAGGCCCAGACGGCGGGCGGCGACGAGTCGGCGACGGGGCGGCGACGGCGACGGCATAGCCGCCAGACCGCCACACAAGCCCAGACGACGGGCGGCGACGTGGTGGCGACGGGGCGGCGACGGCGGCGACATAGCCGCCAGACTGCCAGACAGGCCCAGCTCCTTAGACCAAATGGAAGAAACCGCAAGTGCAAGCACTGCTTGGTGAATGCGTACGTGTTCTATGCGTGTTGTATGATTTACAACCAACGGCCATCGGCTAAGGCATGCTTACAGACATGTATGTGCTTCTACGGGTCCCCTGTCCTCGTACGTACACGCAGAACATAATTTGTTTCCACCTCATCTCATTCCTGCTGGTCCTTCTTTGGCCTTTGGGGGAAGGCACCCGTCGCCAAAGGCAAGACGCAGCTCGAAAACACTGGCCAGGAGAGGTCCTCGGAAGAGACTTGTGAGCCGATCCTTTTCAGACCTCTGGCGGCTCGAGGACTCTGCACAGGAAGTCCGTCCTCCAAGGCCCGCTTCGGGGCCCAGGAACCATCAACAGTCCCAGTGAAAGGGGTCGAGAACTCTGAGGCCTGCACGGACATCGCGTAGTCCCAGATTCAACCTCGCTGTAACGATGAACGGATGAAGAATGTAGGGCGCTCGTGGTGACGTCTCAAGCAGGGGTACTCTTCTCCTCTCTACAGGGTAAGACTACTCAAGAAGGGGTGATCATTCACCCGCATCCTTCATCTGTGCACTGGCCGGTGCGACTGGCCGAAGGAGCTGCTACGAGGGAGCAAGACTCTCCATCCCGCCTTCAAGAAGGGGTGATCATTCACCCGCCTGCTTCATCTGTGCACTGGCCGGTGCGACTTGCCGAAGAAGCTGCTGCGAGGGAGCAAGGCTCTCAATCGCGCCTGTCCCGGATGGTCTTCTCCCGTTTCTGCATGGCCGAGGCGCCACTGCTCTGCTCAAACTCAGCCGTCCACTCCTCTATCTGCTCGATGTTCGGCTTCGCCTCGGTTTCCTTGAGCAAAACGAGCCGGTCGTCCAGCCCCTCGATGTAGAATGCCCACGGGTGTGGATAGGCCCGAAAGAGCACGTTGGGCCAGCCATCACAGGATCCCGTGGAATAGTGGTACGTCTGGGCGGGGAACATGCTGCAAAATTCTTTCGCTGCCAAGTAAGACCAAGGCTCGCTCCAGAAGTCGGACGCTTCGTTCTCAACCTTGAAAGTCGACGCCGCATCCTCGGAGTTGAGCATGACTACTAAACGCCTCTTCATGCCTTCCAGGAAATCAATAGTACCATCTTTGCCTGCAAAAGGCCTGCCCGCGAGGAAGAAAACGGCAACATCATCTTTAGGGTCTTCGGCGTCTCTGTACAGCAAAGTGCCAATATCGGGTGAATCCTCCTCGCCGATCAATGTCACCCTCAATTCCTGTTGAGCGACTCCGCGACCTAACTCGCTTACAAGTTCCCGGACACGCGGCAACGCATAATTATGAACGGCCCTGACTCCACGGTACATCTCAGGAGGCGCAGGCATCCTTCGCCAACCATTGGTGCCATCCCACTGCCAATCGTTGCTGAGTGGCTCTTGGGTGGGCAGGAACATGTCCAGGCGAAGCCTGGCACACTGCCGGGTGATGCCGTCTTCATAGGCGGCCGTGATCGACTCCACGGCCTGCTCAACCTGGCAGGAGGTTCAAATTGTGGCGAGAAGCATCTATTTCTCTGAGGCCACGTAGGCCTCCTTTCCTGTCTGGCCACTGAACAAAGCTAGATAATTTCAGAACGAGAGTCTTGTCAAGCCGTGCCACGAAAAAAAATGTGACCTCAAGAAGTGGGGCTCTGCAAGTTCAGGCTGGCCCACGGCATTCTGAGATCTGGCGTCGCGACGCATGCAACATCGTGAAGACCACGACTGAGCCCTAGACCCCATCTCGATGTGGGCGAAGGCGCCACACGTGAAGACAGCTGCAACGCCTCGATCTCGGGGTACTGCACCTAGAGAGCCCACTTATTCGCGGCGAGGCCAGGCGTTGTGGGGGGGGGAAAGGGGAGGGGCGGAGGAAGGAGGGAGGAGGAGGAGGAGGAGGAGAGGAGGGGGAGGAGGAGGGGGAGGAGGAGGAGGATGGAGGAGGAGGGGAGGAGAGGAGGGGGAGGAGGAGGAGGGGCGGGAGGAGGAGGAGGAGGCGGAGAGGAGGAGGAGGAGGAGGAGGAGGAGGGGGCATAGCAACAAACAGAAGCCGCGGAGCGCGGGGCGCGCGGAGGCGGAGCGCGCGCGGAGAGCGCGCCAGCGGCGGCGCCCGAGGCGCCGCCGGGGGGGCCCAGCGCAGATCCGAGAAATCCGCGCGGAGCGCCAAACATCTCTGTCTGTGGCGTTTTCTCTTCGAGGGAAAGGGGGGGGGGCGGGGAAGGGGCAGAATAACACTGCTGTTTCCTTCCAAGGAAAAGGGGGGCACGGGAGGGGCAGAATCACGCCCCCGCCCCTCAACGTGACCGACAGGTGCTGGACGTTCTGCGGCAGTGCCGGGGACACTCTGGGGGGGAGGGACCGTTACGATGTGGGGGAGGGGGTGGGGCATAACGCGCGTTATGGCCCAGAGGGTTGAAAAGCACTCTCGTGCAGTCTGCCGCTCCGGCGGTGCCCAGCGCGCGACGACAGATCAAAGAGAAAGCTTTCTACGCGCGGCGGCATGGCGACGTCACGCGGTGGCTTGCGCGGACCACCTGCGGAGAGAAGACGGCGCTCGCGCGAAGCCTTACGCGGGAAGCCCATCTGAGCGACGAACACAAGCGGGTCTTACGCGAGAAGACATGGCGACCTTGCGCCGCGGCTTGCGCGGGCCCCCAGCGCGGCACACCGCGTGGGGAAGAGGGGAGAGGGCGCTCTCGCGCAACCTGTACTTACGCGGGAAGCTCACGCGCGAATGTCGGCGCAGTCGACCCAGATTTCTTCCTAGAGCAGGTGGTGTCGGCGGGTCGCGCGCCGTCTCGTCGGGGCATCGGCGACGGCAGGGTGCAGAAGAGCGGACTCTAGATCGCGCCGTATCGCGGATGCAGGAGCGACGCGGCGCGGTCCTCCGACTCTATCTGCTCCAGCACCAATTAGGAGGCCTGCAAAACAATCCCCGTGGCTGTGCTCGAAGATGCCCAGAACGGTCCAGTGACCACACCGTCTTGCGAGGAATTGATTTTGGGTGAGCGAGCGATTTTGGGATCCGCATTCTCCGAGGATGTCTCGAGCGTCTCAGGCCTCCCACTGCTGGATCCGTCCGTCGAGAGGCGGCCCGACGAGAATCTCTTGGTTTCAAGGTGATCGGACCATATGTAGCCGACCAATTTCCCAGACCCCCGACACCGTGGTTCTCTCAATACGCCTGGACCGCTTGACCCCGACTTTGATACATGACCTCTGTTCGATGCCCTCGGAGCCAGAGCTCGGCCGGCCGACGCTGACACCTGCGCAGAACCATCGGTCCTGACTTTCTCGCGGCCCGAGCTCTGACCCAGAAGCCCGAGGCTGGAGGAACCTCCAGGAACCGACGAGCACTGCCTTCGACCTCTCGCCGGGATTCTTTGTCCACCACGCGAGAAGTTCATGGGGTCAGAAGTCGACCCCTTGACCTCTTCTAGGGTGCCTTCTGACAAGAATGGCAAGGTCGACCTCTCGCCGGGATTCTTTTTCCACCACGCGAGAATTTCGTGGGGTCAGAAGTCGACCCCCTGGACCTCTTCTAGGGTGCCTTCCTACAACAAGAATGGCAGGGCCGATGCAGCCGCGGCGACGGGGCGCCCAACGCACAAAACACGACAGGGGCCCAGGAGGAGGAGGGGGAGGAGGAGGAGGACGAAGAGGAGGAGGAGGAGGAGGAGGAGGAGGAGGAGGATTCTGTATCTGTTTTCACGGCGTGAGGATGTTCGGGATCCTCGAGCCTCCCTATAGGGATCAAACGATGCAGGAACATCATGGCTCGGAGGTCCGCGCGGATGTTTGGGATCGGCGTTGGGCCTCCTTGCCAGGGGCGGCACTGGAGGCGCCTTCAAGGAACTCGACACCGATCCAAGCAAGCCGCGCGAACCTCCGAGAAGAGATGTTCATACAGTTGTCTGGCCACCTAGGGGGGCTCGAGGATCCCCAGCATCCTCACGTCGTGCACGCAGATCCATAATCTGCATGTCCTAAGGCTTCTGGGCGCTCTTCGCCCTGTCTGGGCCGCTGTCGGGCTTCTCGTCTCCACGGCTGGACCTCCGAGGAAGTACAGATGTGCAGGATTTTTTGGCTCTTCGGCTCGAGCCTCCCTCGTTGCGAGCCCGAGGCCGCAGAACAAATACAGCCGCAAGAATGATCATCTCATTCAGTCAATCCCCTGCTCCTCCTCCTCCTCCTCCTCCTCCTCCTCCTCCTCCTCTCCTCTCCTCCTCCTCCTCCTCCTCCCTCCCCCTCCCCCTCGTCCTCCTCTCCTCCTCCTCCTCCTTCCTCCTCCTCCTCCTCCCTCCTCCTCCTCCTCCTCCTCCTCCTCCTCCTCCTCCCCCTCCGCCCTCCTCCTCCTCCTCCTCCCCCTCCTCCTCCTCCTCCTCCTCCTCTCCTCCTCCTCCTCCTCCTCTTACCTCCAACTCCTCCTCCTCCTCCTCCTCTCCTCCTCCTTCCTCCTCCTCCTCCCCCTCCTCCTCCTCCTCCTCCTCCTCCTCCTCCTCCTCCTCCTGCTCCCCATCCTCCTCCTCCTCCTCCTCCCCCTCCTCCCTCTCCACCACGTCCCGGATATTTCCAGAAACGAGTCTGGGCCAACTCCGGTGGTTGACGCAGGAGGGGCGAGCGTGCGCCAGAAAGACTGGGCCAGCTCTCCGGCAAGCGGATTTTGAGAAACGCTGGCCCAGCTTCTCGGGCGGATGCTTCCGCATCATATGCTCGATTGCACAATTACGAGGAGGACTCCTCATCAAGGGCTCATTATCCAAGGCTCCTCATCATTGCTCGACTGCCCAAGGGCTCCTCATCAAAAGGCATTCCATGACTACGCAGCGTGGCGCTCCACGTTCAACCAATCACTCATTCCAGACGCTATGACGTCACGCTCCCTCTCGGGCGGACGGCAACTGGAGGCAATACAAGTACGGGGGTCTTGATGATTGCGGGAACGTTGCCGAACAGTTGCCCTTGAGGGCCCCAGAAGGGGCCCAGGCAAACTTGCTGCTTTTTTCTTCACCCTGCTTATTTAGGAAACAACAAAAACGATACCGCTACTCCCCGGACCTGTCCTGGGGTGCATTCTGAGTAGGATCTCGAGGCGAATCCAGCGGTAACGACGAGGGCCTCCCAGGAGGTCAAAAAAGGCGAGAACCAGGCAAGGGTAGCGGTATAGGTACCCTTCCCTCCTCGGAATATTGCCCCTACGTTACTGGCAACCCGACCCTCATTGCTTGCCCGATTTGGACGCCCGAAATGGGTACGGAAAAGAATGGGTACGATGCCCAACAGCGGTTGTTGTGTCAAGACCGACAGCGGCCGTTGTTGGGCAGGCAGCCTGCTGTCTCACACTGACAACGTCTGCGGCGACGCCGGCAACGAGCCCAATTCAAGATGGACAGCAACTGCTGTCGGTTGTTGCACCCACTCTTCCCGCACACTCGGACCTAGAACAAAAGAACATCCTCCAAAAGCATCCTCCGCTGGTCGAACACACCCACACACACACAGAGAACATCCGAGGGTGCCCTCGCCCCGGACGTCCCACAAGCACGAAGAACCCCAGTGCACCCTCCCCGAACCGACCTCGATCGCATACCTCGGTCCGACCGTAAAAAATAAAAAACAAAAAAAAATAAAAAAATGAAAAAAAAAAAAATAAAGAAAAGAAAAAAAATAAAAAAAAAAAACAAAAAAAAAAAGAAAAAATAAAAAAAAAAAAAAAATAAAAACAAAAAAAAAAAAAAAAAAAAAAAAAAAAAAAAAAAAAAAAAAAATAAAAAAAAAAAAAAAAAAAAAGAGTAAAAGAAAAAAAAATACAAAAAAAAAAAAAAAAAAAAAAACAAAAAACAAAAAGAAAAATACAAAAAAAAAAAAAAAAAAAAAAAAAAAAAGCACCGGTGGGCGCGCGGCATCCCCTTCACCCCCCGCGGCACCTCCCGCTCAGGGATGGCCGGGAGCCGGCTCACCTCCCGTCGCGGGGGCCTAGGCACCGCAGCGCCACGTTGCCGCTCGGCCCGAGAGACTGCAGGGAGGAGGGCGGGGGGGAGGGAAGAGAGGACCCCGAGGCCCTGTGAACAAGTCGCGGTGGACCTCGGTCCGACTCTCCCCGAGCCGACCTCGATCTTCCTAGGGGGCCACATGCGAACCCTACCCCTGCCCCCCATCATTTCTGAGGGGGAGGGCGGGGTTCATTTCGCTCAGGAGCTCCCGAACGGAGTGAACTCCACCCTCCCCATGCGACCCTCGATCTTACTAGGGGTAGGGTTCGCATGTGGCACCCTACTTACGCCTCGGTCCGACTGTGCCCACTTCGACCGCACCCGATCCCCGGCCAGGCCATTCCGGACACGGACGTCGGGATCTGCGGCCTCGCCGGCGGCTCCGGCGCGGCGCCCGCCGCCGCCGACCTCGGGCGGCGCGCTGGAGGCATGGGGGAGGGCCTCGGGGGGGGGAGGCGGGCTCGAGGGGAGGACCCGAGGGGGACCCCCCATCGCGGGGGGAGGATCGAGGGGGAAGATCGAGGGGGAGGCAGGCTCGAGGGGAGGATCGAGGGGGGAGGATCGAGGGGCAGGGGGGAGGATTTCGAGGGGGGGAGGGGCAAGCTCGAGGGGCACAGCGTAGGCGGCCGCGCTTGCGCCAGCTGCAGCGGCCACGCACGCATCCAGGCGAAGAACATCTTGGAGGTCGGCGTCAGCATTCGCGGGCGTGGCTGCCTGCGCGGGCTGCGCGACAGTTAGGGGGAAAACAAACCTACCTCGCTTTTGACCACCCTCGCTTCCAAGAGATACCAAACGATGCCAAATTGCAGCATGTACTGGTCAGGCCGCTTGACGAGGAGGCGCGTGGTATGGCTTGGTTTTGCCTGGAAGCGAAAGCGGGGTAGGTAATTAACGCTCTGAACAGTGGGCGGCACCGGGGGCGGTGGGCGCTTGGCCATAGCAGGACCGCTTGCGCTGGACTGCGCAGTCGCACGCGGGTCTGCGCGGGCGCTGGCGGCGGCGTTGGGGGCATGGATCTAGGCGTGCGTTTCGCCGCAGGTAATGCCGCCGGCACAACGTCGCAAACTTCGCGCTGACTCCGTGGCTCAGGAAGCTTTTTCAGCGGTGGGTAAGTCCGAGGTGCGCCGCGCTCTGGGTAGAGGACCATGCCCCCAACGGCGCGGATGGCGAGAACGGTACCTCGTGGAAAAGTCTGCGGGCACTCGATAGCGCCCTGCTCCCCAAGCCAGAACTCACAACCTGCTGCGGTAGCGGCTTTCATGTCGATGGCGATGTCGACCTGCTACTTCTTGCGATCGAACTTGTAGCCGCGAAGCTTGGTGCGGGGGTTCGGCGCGTCCTGGAACGCAAAGGAACAGGAGCTGAAGAAATCTTCCTTCCGAGTCACGCGTGCAGCGCCATGACCAAGAATGGTGACATAGGAAATAATGCAATTGTTTCCAAACATCTTCGGCTGGCTCCCAACGTGCACGCAACTCTGACCGCCAACAGCCCTAATGGCGAAAACATTTCCACGGGAAAATCTTGGCCGTGAGTGTTACAACTGTCGCGCCGAACAAAGACCTGGAAACGTTCCTTGTCGCCCTCGGTGTGTAGTTGGAGGAAGCGTAGAATAGCGACGATGTAGTAGTCATCTGCAGACTGCCAAGGCTATCCAAGTTGCTGAACCTGCCGCATGTGGGCTGCAACGGTTTGGGAGTACGCTCCATGTCCGTTCTGTCCAAAGACGGTCTGCATCAGCTGGTCGGACGAGGAGGCAGCGTTGCAAACTCCCCATGGTGCCATATCGCGCGACCTCGGCCACATGTTGACGCGACGATCAAGGAACTGGTTGAATCCGTTTCGCTCTTGGTTGTCGTGGCGTAGCGTCGTGGAAATTGACTTGCTGAACTGCTCTGTTGTGCCAGAGAACTTGTGGGCGTGTCCCATCCTGTGAGCAAAAGTGATCCCAGTTGTTCTGTTTTCACACGTCAGAACGTGACCCATTCGTATTCGGGGAGACATCCGCTGTTACGCAGGTCGGGGGCGTGCGCAATGACATAGTCGTCGTATTGTAAGCGCTCGACGTATTGCTCATCCGTTGCGCACGCGGCGCAAGTTGCATGTCCCCGTAATGGGGCAGGTACCAAAGGATAGGGACCAAATGTGTTCTTTCGAATACACGGCTGAGAACTCACACGCGCACACCTCCCGCCGTGATCTCTCCTACGGCGCGAGGGCCGTTCATAGAGGGAATCACAGTTGCATAAACATGAACTTTCGGAGGTCCGAATGAATCTTTCGGACCTGAACTGGACGCCTTCCCTGGCGCGCGGAACGAGGCAGGGGCGTCCAAGCGCCGATCCGACAAACCCGCGCGGAACTCGAAGAATCATGCTATGCTTCTTCTTGTCTCGAGTCCGGCCCCCCCCTCCCGTGCGGAACTCAAACGTTATGCCCTTTTTTCTCCTTCGAGTCCCGGTCCCCCGAGGGGGATCCCACCGCGGCGACGGGAAGCCCCCCAGAGCCCCAGACATGGGCGAACTCACCCACCGACTCTTCAGGACGTGCCGATTTTGCCGTTCCATGTCGGCGGCGAGCCCCGGGGAAAGTGAGAAGAAGAAGAAGAACAAGAAGAAGAAAATAACAATAAGACAAATAATAATAAGACACATCACAATAATGATAATAATAATAATAATACTAATAATAATAATGAGAAGACGAAGAAGAGGAAGGCCTTCTCACAGGGTTCGGAAGTTCCCCGGCCCTCCGACAAGTTCCCTAAACTTTCTCCGGAAACCTCGCAGAGGGCGCGGGGGCCTCTGAGGAGTCCCGCCGCCTTCTGAGAAGGCTTTCTCCTACTCCCTTCCCCCCCATCGTTCGCCGCCGATAGACGGGGTCGGAGTTGATGGGGTCGGGGGGGCGCGCCGCATCGCCGATGCATCGCCGATGCGGAGCCCGAGTTTCTCCGCGCCGACGCCGCCGACGCGTCGCCGACGTCGGCGAAGCATATCGCCGATGCATCGCCGATGCACTGGCGACGCGGCGCGATCCTGTGACCCTGGCGCGATTTTGTCCACGGCGCGAGTCGGGGATCTTCTGACCCAGGTCAATGCAGACCCGGGTCAGCAGGAAACCAAACAACTGCAGTGCAGGAAACCACAAAACTGCAGCGCAGGCCTTCGCGCCAACCCGGGTCAGCCACCATCCGCGGCCGCCTCGCGGCCACGAGCGGCTCGCCAATCCGGGTCAACCAGAGGGGGTCTTCGCGGGATCCTGCAGGACCCGGTGCCCTGGCTGACCCCCGCTTGCATTGACCCCCGTCGCTTGAGTCCCGCGACGCTGGGTGCGCGCACAAGTCCGTGCAAGGCCTTCGCAGGAGGACGAGGAGGAGGACGAGGAGGAGGAGGAGGAGGAGGAGGAGGAGGAGGAGGAAGGAGGAGGAGGAGGAGGAGGAGGACGAAGAGGACGTCTCTTAGGCCCCGAGCGAGGGTCGTCAGGGCCCCCCCGGGGGGTACCCGCGGGCCGCGCGGGCGCGGCGGCGCCGATGCCACCCGCGGCCGCCGCGCAGGGCCGCCGCCGCCGCCGCGGAGGCGCCGGCGGCTGCGGGCGCGGCGCGGGGGCCGCCCGGCTGTCCTCGGGCACCGCGCGGGGCGCTGCCCAACCTTCGCCCGAGGCCCCACATCCAGACACGTGCTCGCGTCGTACCTCCTCCTCCTCCTCCTCCTCCCATCCTCTCCTCCTCCTCCCTGCTCCTTCCTCCTCCCTGCTCCCTACTTCCCTCCTCCTCCTCCTCCTCCTCCTCCTCTCCTCCTCCTCCTCCTCCTCCTCCTCTTCCTCACTCGTCCTCGTCCTCCTCCTCCCCTTCTCGTCCTCCTCCTCCTCCTCCTCCTCCTCCTCCCTCTTCTCTCTCTCCTTGTCTCCGTCGTCGTCGTCCTCCTCCTCCTCCTCCTCCTGCTCGCACACACAACCGGAAGACAGCTGAGTTCAATGCGCGCTGCCCACCGAAAGCACAGAAGAGACAAGGCAAGATAGGCGGAAGGCATCGAACTCAACAACGCTGACGATGGCGAGACGGGAACTACCTCGAAGCGAGCGGTCCCTGAAATCCGCCACCATCACACGAGCCAAGTAGAAATCTACGAGCACAAAACCATGCTTGAGAGCATCAGGAGGCACCCAAGAGCCTTATTCATCCCTAGCGCCAGGATACTTCGCCCCGACATCGCAAACAAGCGCCATCAAACATGCGCCGAAACTCGAGCGGGTACGCTCTAGCATGTGCCGTGGTCCACTCCCCATTGTCCTGAACCCCTTTGTAGCGTTAGTTGCTGATGATCCCCAGCACTCTCCCCTCCACCGAACTGTGAACTCAGAATGTCCAGTAATGCTAGAGCATGCTCGCACAATAGGATGTTGGGCTTCAATGACTGAGATCCGAGGCGGCACCGATGTATGTCTGACTAGCTCAGCGACTAATTTCTGGGAGGAGCCAGATCGGCATTGGCCCTATAGCTCGTTGCAGGATGCTCCAGCACCATGGGTATTCCTGCAAGCGCGCACTATTGACTTGTTTCAAAAGATACTTCCAAAGGTACTTCCAATCTCCGGCTGCAGGAGGACATGCCCGACCTAACACACCTCGAACCCCAAGCGAGACGCCCGACTTAAGGATAGTGCAAGGCGAAAAGCAGACCGCAGGAGAGTCCCACGCATGGGAGGACGGGGAGCCCGTGCCCGGCTGGTGCTGGCAGCCTTGCTGCCTGAGACTTCCTCACCAACCTATTACCAAACCTCCTGCATTGGGTTCTCGTTCTGACTAGGAGGATGACGAGGAGGAGGAGGAGGAAGGAGGAGAAGGAGAAGGAGGAGGAAGAGGAGGAGGAGGAGGAGGAGGATGACCTCGCCGCTCCTTGGGTGGCTACGAACTGCGCAACTGTCGCCACTTTCGTGGGCTCCTGTGAAATACATCGGAGTAGGGGAGTACGCGCACCCAGCCGAGACACGGCTGCGAATTGCGTTGCTGTCGCCACTCTCGTGGAGTCGGAGAGTGCGCAGACCCAGCCGAGACCTCGCTGTTCCCTGGATGGCTGCGAACTGCGCAGCCGTCGCCACTTTCGTGGGCTCCTGGGAAGCACTGCGGATTATGCGGGGCACGCGGACACAACCGAGACCTCGCTGCTCCCTGGGTGGCTGCGAACTGCGCACTGCCGGCACTTTTTGGGGCTCGGCGGACTAAGGGAGTACGCAGACCCAGCCGAGACAAAGCAGTGGGCACGCCCACCCAGCCGAGACCTCGCTGCTCCCTGGGTGGCTGCGAACTGCGCAACCGTCGCCACCTTCGGGGATTGGAGGTTCAACGGAGTCGGGAGCAACGCGCAACCCAGCCGAGGCCTCGCAGCTCCCTCCCTGGGTGGCTGCGAACTGCGCAACCGTCGCCACCTTCGGGGGCTCCGTGGAGGTCCACGCGCAGTAGGCGGGCCACGCGCACCGCTGGCGCCCCTGCCCGTGCTGGGCTCCCTGGGTGTTGTCAACTGCGCAGCTCTCACCGGGCGAGACCTTGCGGCTTCCTCCGGGAGGCGGCCAGCTGCGCAACTGCCCCCGTGCTCGACGGCCTCTGACAGGCCCGGCGGATGGGAGTTGCACGCAGAGCAAGAGGAGACCTCGCGGCTCCTGGTGAGGCTGCCAACTGCAGAAAGGTGGATCATGTTTCGTGGGCGAGGGTGCTGCAGGATTCTCAGCCCGTGTATTTTTGGGCAGGGCCCCTGCAAGAGAGCTTTCTAAAAAGTGGGTAGCTACCCTGTTTCTTTGTGAAGTTGCTCAAGAGCTCGAGAATGCCATACACAGCCAACGGTAGTGCTCTGGATGACATCCTTCCCTCCTCGTGGCGGTCGCCGCACGTGGAACAAACAAGGGCTGGGTACGTCTCGGGCCATGCAGGCATCGCGCCCTCACCTCGATGCGGCCTGCATCGTCGGTCTGGGCGGCCACGCGCCCTGGCAGAAGCCACACCGCGGTGCACCTGGCTGTGCTCTGCCCCGCGCCCCCCCAAACCCGACCTCCTCCTCCTCGACCCGCCTCGTCACCTTTGCGACAGTCGGCCCGCATCATGAGGACGCGCGATGAGGATGCAACGGCCTCGGACGCCCACTTCGAGGCTCTCGAGCGGGGCGCGGCCGACGAAGGTGGCCAAGGATGGGCCGATGGGGGCAGGGATGCAGGGGCATCATCCATGGGAAGGTTGCCCATCCTTCCTTACGCGGGCGGCTGCACTATCAGGGTGCTTTGCAAAGGGGGATGCTCGCGGCTGGCGGATCCGAGCGCACCCGCACGGGCCGCGCCCGAACCGCGTGCGCGAGTAAAACAGGGCTAGGATCGGGATAAATCGCTCCAGAGCGTTCCGGTGCGCTCTCAGAGCGTTCCGGAACGCTCTGGAGCGGCCGCGGCGCCCAATACATCCTCCAAACCCGCCGATTCTCAGAGATTTCGAGTTATCCCGATCCGATTTTGTCCCGATCTTCGCGTCGTTTTAGCGAGCGCAGGCGGAGCCTGGAGGCCTCGGGCAGGGCCGGCAGCGCCGCCGGCCAGCAAGCGGCGGGCGCACACCGCAGCACAGGCACGAGGGCGCGGCCAGCAACGGACGGACGGACTGGATGATGGGGAGGCAGCGCACCAAATGATCAAGGATGCTCCTCGATGGTCCTCGCCGAGGGAAAAAAAACGCACGTCTGAGCGATGCCAAGAGAAGGGGGTCTGTGCTGCTACGGATCTCCGTTGTGCGTTTCGGGATCCCCACCATGACCCCATGATTGCCACCCGTCTGCGAGTTTTGATGGGCGGCGCGCCTGGGGGAGAAAAGGAGAAGGGGCGGGCCTTCTCAGAAGGCTCGGGAGTCCCACGGCCCTCTGCGAAGCTGTCTCGGCCTCCCCCGAAGACGTCAAGAAGAACTTTTCTCAGAAGGCGCGAGGGCTTCTGAGAAGTCCCGCCGCCTTCAGAGAGGGCCTTCTCCTTCTCACTGCCCCCCTCGCTCGTCGCCGAAGGGGGGAGCGGCAGCGGGGGGAACGCGGGGGACCAGCTCACGGGGCCAAACGTCGTCCTGGGATCAGCCAGCGCACTTGTGCCCCCCCCCCCCCGGCGCGCGGGTGGAAGCCGCCAGTTTGGACACCCGAAATGGGTACCGAAAGAATGGGTACAATGCCCAACAACAAATGTTGTCCCAAACCAACAGCGGCCGCTGTTGGGCAGGCGGCCTCCTGTCTCGAATGGACACGGGCCGCGGCGGCGCGGACAGCGAGTCCTGTTCAAATTAAAACAGAACTCTGTTGGGATCGTAACCCAGTGTCTTTTCCGTACCCATTTCGGGCGTCCAGAGCGGTGGTCTACGAGCGCAGGAGCCGGGCCACCCGAGCAAAATACATACTGATCCACACCCCGCGTGGGAGCCCAGCAGCGCCCCTGGGAAGCCCCCGGGGCAGCGCCGAAGTGGGGCCGCCGGGCGAGGGGCAGCAAGCAGGGCAAGAGCACGCAGCACAGGCACGGAGACAGAGAGGCGCGACCTATACACGCTGCCCTTGCCGCGCTTTCGCCTTGGGGGGCCTCCTGGGAGGCCTTCGGTGCCACCGCTGGATTCGCCTCGGAATTCTGGTCAGAACGCACACCGGGAGAGGTCCGGGGAGTAGCGGTATCGGTGCGAGCAGCAGCGGAAGGACTCGAGCAAATGGCAACGCCAGGATGCCCAGCGCCGATCCGGGAAATCCGAGCAGACCTCCGAAAATTGGGGGTTCATGCCGTTTGTTCTCCCTCGGGCTTCCGTCCGGTAGACGCGCCCAGCGCTGGCGCTGCTACACGCACTCCAGGACTGCACTTTGGCCTGGGTGCCTGTCAGTCAGCTGCGCTACGAGAGGAGGGCTGGTCAGCAACGGACGGACCAGATGAGGGGGAACGATGGTGTGGGACCAGCTCAGGGGGGGGGGAGGAAACACGGACCTCGAATCTACCATACATCGCCAATAGATCGGCGATATGCCCCCGATGGAAATTATTCACTGCGTGGGGATCCCCATATGTGCATCTCCTTGCTGGCGCTCCCTTGGTGGTGGGACTCGGTGAGGACGAATCTGGATTTAAGTGTGACTGAGCTGCCTCTCTCTCTCTCTCTCTGCTCTCTCTGTCTCTCTCTCTCTCTGCCCCCTCTCTGTCTCTGCCTCTCTTTCCCTGCCTCTCTCTCTCTCTCTGCCTCTCTCTCTGCCTCTCTCTCTCTGCCTCTCTCTCTCTGCCTCTCTCTCTGTGCCTCTCTCTCTCTGCCTCTATCTCTGCCTCTCTCTCTCTCTCTCCTCTCTCTCTTCTCTCTATTCTCTCTCTGCTCTCTCCTCTCTCTCTCACTATCCCTCTCTCTCTCTCTCGCTCTCTCTCTCTCTTCTCTTCTCTTCTCTTCTCTTCTCTTCTCTTCTCTTCTCTTCTCTTCTCTTCTCTTCTCTTCTCTTCTCTTCTCTCTCTCTCTTTCTCTCTCTATCTCTCTCTCTCTTCCCTCGCTCTCTCTCTCTCTTCTCTCTCTCTC